TTTTTTTTTTTAAAAAAAAAAAAAAAAAAAAAAAAAAAAAGATTGAATATTTTCAGGCATTAACATTTTCTAGTTTAACATTTTCTAGTTGTGTTTTAGCATTAGTATGGCATTAGGCTTTTAACTGTAACTTCAGTGAGTTTCAGAAGGTAATTTAAGCAGATCTACATGTACCCATTCAGGAATAAATAGCTCTGTTGGTAAAGAATTGCTTTTCTATTTATTAATACATTTATTGTGATATTTTATTTTGTTTGCTTTTGTACTGGGCATTGAACCCCTGAGCTACATCCCCTGCCCTGTTCTGTTGTTTTACTTACTGAGCTAGTTCTTTTGCAGCATCGTTAATGACCGTTACCAAAAACTGTTTAACATTGGGAATTTTGTTTTATCATTTGTGAGATCAGCATCTGATACTGATGTACAACACCTACCCTAAAATACTGGTGGTTGTTAGACGAGCTGAAGTATGTGAGCTCCGACCTAGAAGGCTGGGCTGAACCTGCTGTGCTTTGTGCTTTTCCAGACCAAGATGCTGATGGGCGAAGTGATGAGGGAAGCTGCCTTCTCCCTCGCCGAGGCCAAGTTCACAGCGGGGGACTTCAGGTAAAAGTGCGGTGCTTTCCAGTTCATGATTACAGTGAAAGTTTTTAGAAAATTCCAAAGTAGGTAAATAGTACAGACTACTACATGGTACCGAGAAGGACCTCTCGTAACCCTCTCCTTCCAGCTGCCTGGGGCTCTCACGCAGTGGCGGGCACAGGAGACTGATTATTTTGTCATCCGTTTTCAATTTGACCTTGTACCATCAATGTTTTCCTTGTTTTCATGAGGGTGTTTCTTCCTTCTCAAGGGTACCATGATACCTTTTCTCCTTGCGCTGGACCTTTGCTGTGATTTTTCAGTGTTTTGGGAATATTAGACGAGATAGATTAAACATCTTAATGTGTATCTTTTTTATGGTTTTTATTGAAGTATTAGTACAGTACAGTTACATTCATTGTTGGGATCATGTACCTTTACATGGCAAGTCTTGATTCTCATTTTTTTCCCCTTACCTCTGCCCTCCCTTCACCCCTTCCTCCCCTCCCCATCTACAAACACTTTATTTTCATCTTTTCATTCTCTCACATTTTTTTCTTTTCCCTTTTTGTTCTTCCTTTTCCTTGTTTTCATGAGGGTGTTTCTTCCTTCTCAAGGGTACCATGATACCTTTTCTCCTTGCGCTGGACCTTTGCTGTGATTTTTCAGTGTTTTGGGAATATTAGACGAGATAGATTAAACATCTTAATGTGTATCTTTTTTATGGTTTTTATTGAAGTATTAGGGTAAATTTTTGAGACTAGAATCCATTTATTTTCAGAAAACAAGCATTTTATATACCTGAAGTCTTCTTCCTGGCACAGTTAACCACCTTTCCAGGAACGGGTGGGCAGGCGGAACAGAATGAAATCCCAGGGTTGCCAGTCAGCTTGTCTCTCGTCTGTCTAAACCTAGTGTCCTAGAAAATCCTCTTTTGTCTCATTGGAGCTCAAATCCTGATTCATTTCAGCAGTATAGGACCCATTATTTAAAAGGCAAGAGTTGTGTGGCGTTTGTCGAAGCCGTGCGTGCTTTACGACACATACATGATGGTTTGCAAATGATGTCATTTCATGCATTAACGACTCTCCCCGTAGCCCAGCAGGTATTGTTGCTTTCAGCTTAGTGAAATTCTTTTCTGAAGTCACGTGGCTAGTTAAGGACAGAAGGAAAAGTTGTTTTCAGGATTTTAGATTTATTTTTGGTGGTATCGGGGAGCGAATGCTGCAGGGACTTGCAGATGCTAGGCGTGCACTCTGCCACTGAGCCACATTCCTAGCTGTATAAAAGATTTTATTCGACACAGGGTCTCACTAAGTCGTCTGAGTTGGCATCCAATTTGGGATCTTTCTGCCTTTGCCTCCTGAATAGCTAGGGCTGAAGGCGAGCACTGCCACTCGTGGCTGTTTCCAGGGGTTTTGATTTTACTGTCCTTGTCCCAGTGACGTGATTTGCCCTTCTGTAGTAGTGCTCCCTGGCAGCGGGCCTTGGCGCCTGAGGGCTGTAGGCCCCTCAAGGTACAGACTTTAATTTTTGCCAATACCGGTCAGGTAACAGTTTGCACTGACTTTGCCTGAGGGAGGAACTCAGTAGTAAGTCATTTATGAGTGGTTATGGGAAAGACACTTTATTTTACAGCAGATGGTGTTAAAGCCAGAAGCAGGGTGACAGAGTGTGAATACCAGCTTAACCAACTGAATAGCAAACCTAGAAGGAAAATTTTCTCCAAATGACACTAGTGGATTGAGAGTGCTGAACTCAGTCCCATCCACGCACTTAGTGAAAATCCTGCCTCCAGTACCTCGTCATTCTTGCTTGTGGTGGTTTCAACGTTGTTCTCTGCCATTGGAGGCCCTCCTAAGACAGCAGCAGGCTTTCTTCTTTTCTGGAAGAAGGACAGTTATCAAAACACTGAACTGTGACATCTCACTCCAGGTCTCATTTAATGTCGAAACTGTCCCTGTGGATTTATTTCTAAAGAGACAACTGAATAAAGGCTCTGTTTTCTTTTGCAGCACCACAGTTATCCAAAATGTAAATAAAGCCCAAGTGAAGATTCGTGCAAAGAAAGATAATGTAGCAGGTAACTTTTCAACCCTTCAGAACCCTTGGAGGATAGGTGACATTTTAAAATCAGCCATTTATGCAACAATATCTTGATGTGCCAGTTTCTCTCTTCTATTAGAACAGCTTGATTGGCTTTGTTAAAACCATTAGCAGTGAAGTCTTTATTACTTAGGGTAATCTGACTTTTGAATAGAAACAAAGGCTTAAGAAAACAGGTTCTGATACTCATTGAGTGAAGCTAGTTACATTTCCAGACTTCATCTCTTGCCTTTTGGGGAAAAACAAAAAACATAGGAGACAGTGCATAGGAAACAGTACTTCAAGGCTGTGTTTTGTTGGTGAGTTCCTGTCTGTTTCTGTATTTTAACAGGTGTTACTTTGCCAGTGTTTGAACATTACCATGAAGGAACTGACAGTAAGTGTGAAGCTCGGTGCTGGTGTTTGTCTCTGGGGTCTTCTGTTCCCTCTTTAAATGAAATTTGTACTGGAAAGCATCCTAGTTGGACTTCGTAGAGGTCAGAGGTTCGAGTGTTAAGACACTCTTTCACCAGGAGAGGAGCCTGGCTTGCAAGTGCAAGCTCCTGGGTACCATCCCAATGCCACACGCCGTCTTCTTTTGGAAACTGTATTCAGCATTGTCCTATAGTGCCTGGGAGTGAGGCAGGCACTTCTTGTTGCGCTTAACCAGGAGTTAATTTGTCTTCGTGTTTGGTAGTTTTTTGCTTATCTTCCTGTTGGGAATTTTCTGCAAGATTATTTACTCTTAATTACAAATGTTGTCTGACTGGTTCTTTCAGGTTATGAGCTCACCGGTTTAGCCAGAGGTGGGGAACAGCTGGCCAAACTGAAGAGGAATTATGCCAAAGCAGTGGAGCTGCTGGTGGAACTGGCTTCGCTGCAGGTGAGGGGACAGCCGAGGAGAGGGGGTGGAGCCCACGTGGGGCTGGTGTGGTGCCTGTTATGCGTGTGCTTTAGCTGTGACCCTGTGTGAAACCTGCCTGCTGTTTAGATTTCTGAAACCGTGGCTCCTGCAGTTATCTCTGCTTTTTATTACTAACAAATTGTACGTGCAGTGGTACAGTTTCACTGTTCACTAGGTGAGAACAGCAACAGTCAGAACTAGATTTAAATGTAAATATAATGTTGTTTGATCGTGAAAGCACTTTCTCCCTTTGTGGCCAGTTAATTATGTAGCTAGGTTATTAGGTCATTTTAAAAAAAAGTTCCAGGTGTCATTTTTATGTCTTCATTTAGGTGAATCAGAAGTAAACAAATTATAATAGCATGGAAATCGTGTTAGCTGTATGGAAATGTCACATGATTTTTCTCTTTTCTTAAACATGCTGAAAAGGTGGTCTTTGGGTTCCTAAATGCGCGGAGCCAAGTGAACAGGGCACAGTTGGGAAGACTTTGTGCTTATTTTATTAATTTGCCCTCCTATTTTAGACTTCCTTTGTTACTCTGGATGAAGCGATTAAGATAACCAACAGGCGTGTCAATGCCATCGAGCACGGTGAGTCGGAGCTGCTGGAAGGTGCCCCGGGGTCACTGTCCACCCCTCCTACTCGCTGGGCGCTGCTGGGACTCAGGCTCCGCACACCTGGAGGTGAAGGAGGTGGCACCCGTGAGCATTGTGGGGCAGAGCGTGTCAGTAGCACTAGGCGCACAGTGAAGGGAGGTCCGTGGGTATGATTTGGGGGCGACAGAGGAAAGTGTGGGTTCAAAATTGTGGACCTTCTCATTCATTTCCAGCCACTAATACAATTACAAAGGTTGAAGCTATTTCTCAAAAGGCTTAATTTTTTTCCCCTCCAGTCCCGGGATTGAACTCAGGATCTGTGCTAAATCCCCAGCCCAAGGCTTAATGTTTTCTTTAGTTCTTTGTAATGGTTGAACTGTGTCATCTTTTTGAATATGTTGAATACAGTACTACCTCAGTTCACCACAGCTTTTGTTTGCGAACAGTTTGGTTTGTAAACAGAAGCGTTTGACACAGTTTTGTTTTTGTGTGCGAACTGTGCATCGGGTGATGAACGCAAACATGGCCATCTTTTCCAGAGTCATGCAGTGAATTAAGTTTGTGAAACGAGATACTATGTACCGAACATGAAATCCTTTCCTTTAGGCTGTTCCCCTTGACTTCTAAAAATAAAATTTTCTTATTTATTTATTTAGCTATTTATTTATTGGTTTTTGAAACAGAGTCTCATCGTAGCTAAGACTGGCCTTGGCCTCGAAGTGATCCTCCTGCCCCAGCCTCTCAAGTGCTGGGATTATAGGCATGCACTTACCCCCAAGCCTGGCAAAATAAATTTTTCTGTTTGATGAATTTCTTTTCCATTTCTTTTACTTAATTACTTTAAAAACATGACTGGCTAGTGTTAAAAATGTTTTTTTTTTTTTCCTCAAGAAACTGTTTCCCTTAGAGAAATAATTTATTCAATTCTAAGTTTAAGAAAGGAGCAAAATTTGAGGGAAATTCCTCTGGTTGAGGCTTTGTTAAGATTATTTGAAGTTGTGTTATTGTTTTAAAATTCAGAAACTTTTTTTTTTTTTTTTTTTTTTTTTTTTTTTTAAAAACTTTTTTTTTTTTTTTTTTTTTGATGCTAGGGAATAGAACCCAGGCCCTGTTTGTGGCAGTCCCTCTAACACTGAGCTGTATTCCCAGCCCAGAAACTTCTCTGCCTGCCTGCTAGTGCCAGGCTTGCACATGAAACTGTAAGCACCACAAAGTGGGTAAGGCTGGCAGTTCTCACCTTCCAGGGAGTTCACGTTCTAGGAGCAGCGCAGGCCAATGCCACGTAGAGTAGAAGAACCCAGTGACTCAAACTTACAAGGTTCTGTCTCCCCTATTTTTAAAAATGGATTTCTGTTACACTGTGGTACACTGGTATTTGTTCATGTTTTCAGTGTATTCAGCATTGGATCTTTTGCAGTCCAGTATGTTATCTGTGCGTAGAAAAGACACTAACAGGGCACATATCAAAATAGTCACAGTAGTCACTTGTGGGTAGTTGGATTACACTTCAGTTTGTTTTCGTCTTGAAATGGTTTGTATTAAGTGCACGTTAGCTTTATAATTAGAGAAGATAAGTAGCTATTACACAGATGAACACCGTTAATTTGAAAGTACGCGCTTTGACAAACTCACTTGTCTATTTTTAAACTCTAGTTATTATACCTCGGATTGAACGTACCCTTGCTTACATCATCACAGAGCTGGATGAGAGAGAGCGAGAAGAATTCTATAGGTTTGTTGAAATTCACAGTGATCTTTTTGTTGTTCTTATTCCAAAGGTTCGATTTGCTGAGTGACTGGTTGGTTTATGTGCTTTTGAATTAGCATAGCTTGTGTATTATTCTGATAAATATAAGCAAGAAGTAGTCTCCTCATACCTGCAGATTTGGTTTTTCATAATTTCAGCACTTAGGGACAACTGCAGTATGAGACTGTTAAATGGGAGATTTGAGAAATGCTAAGCTCTCCGTTGCAGCTGTTCTGAGCAGTAGCCAGGCCCTGCTCCATCATGAGGGGGCCGTGCGGCGCAGCTGTCCGGACTAGACACGCCACCCTGCCGCCAGCCACCACCGCTCACACCGGCCATCGACTGTTGCAGTGCTTGCTCATGGAACCCTCATGTTATGTAACGACAGCACTGCTGCACCAGTTGGTTTAACCTATAGATGTGAAACTTGCAGATGCAAAGTATCTAGGAGAAAATGCAGTATATGCAGGATTTGGCGGCACACCTCCCTGCAGGTCAGAATAGATCCCCTGCCCATAGCAGGACAACTGATTTACCACAGGCCACAGAGGCAGCTCAGGTTTAGATTGCTGTCTCCTACATAAAAACGAATTAACCAGCCATAGGAGATAGTATAAAGTGCTTGGGGATTATCAAATAGTATAGATCGTGTCACTAGAGAATTAACACAGTATGTGGAGAGATGGTACGTGTCCATGAATTGGTTGTGAAGATTTAGTTAGTAGGGACAAATCTCATTATACCTGATTCAGAGAGTTGGTCGGGGTAGGTAGAAACATGAGTATTTAGGGAAAACTTGCTCATCTTTGACCTTGTATAGCGTGAGTATGATGTAAAATCTTTTTTGGGGGGCGGTTTGGGTTTTTGAGACAGGGTCTCACTATGTAGTTGAGACTGATCTGGAACTATGTAGCCCAGGCTGGTCTTGAACCCACAGCGATCCTCCTGCCTCAGCCTCCCGAGTGCTAGAAGTATAGGCATGTGCTACCACACCCGGCGTAAAATGTTAATTATCAAAAGTTAGTTTCTATCTTTCAATGATTTTAGAGTTGTGGTTACGGAAGATTTTAATAAAAGAACATCAGACTGTGTTCCATTAGGGAATGGTTTTCCTGTTTATCTATTTATTTTGAGACAGGGTCTTGTCTTGCTTTGTTCAGACTTGAACTGTTCAGACTTGAACAGTGTAGCCCAGGCTGTGTTGAATTTTCAGTGACCCTCCTGCCTCAGCCTCCAGGTGCTGGCTTTTATAGGGTTGTGCCACCATTCCCAGCTCAAATGTCTTTTTAGAAATTGAGTTATAAGTTAAGTTGAAATGGGAGTGTCAGTTTTTGTTCTAGTTGTACATGTTCATTGTTTTCGTTATAAAACTCAGAAATCAGATCTACTTAATACCTAAATGGCATTCAGAAAATTTCCCTCAATCTTACAGGTTAAAGAAAATACAGGAGAAGAAAAAGATTCTCAAGGAAAAATCTGAGAAGGACTTGGAGCAGCGGAGAGTGGCTGGCGAGGTGATGGAGCCTGCTAACCTTCTGGCTGAGGAGAAGGACGAAGATCTTCTCTTTGAATAGTCTTTTCTGTTCTGCTGCTTTCGGAAAGCCCCCAACATGGTTCTATTTAAATTCAGTGTGTAGGTTTTGGTATGTGCGCCTATTTGTATTTTGGCCTGAGAATTTCACCAATTGTAAAATTTACCTGGATGTCTATTTATGGGATTACTTTTGCAGAATCATGATTCAGCAACCATTTATCATAGGTCAACGAGATTTGCACAAGTTGCTCCTTGCTCACCGGCTTGAGTCGCTGGAGTGTCTGTGTCTGTGTCACACGTGGCCCATTTACCAAGCATTTTAAGAAATAGCTTTAGGGAATGTTCGCGGTCTCAGGCCAGCTGCTGTGAAGACCTGCGTTCCTACTTGCAAACCCTGGCACGCATCTGAGGTGCCACAGCCACCTGTGGCACCACCTCTCAAGCTTTGTGAAATCTGCACTTTTTCCCCTTGCATGACATCTGTCTTGTCTTGGGAGCAGTTTTGCCAATTTAAACGTGACTATGTTGTACACAGTAAAATGGTTGAAAAATAATTTGTCCTTTTTATTACTCATTTACTAAGAGCAATAGTCATGTTTTACACTTAGATCAGTGACCGTATTGCCATCCACAGATTTCGCTGTAGAACCCTAGTGAGTTCTTTATGTTTGTTTTTGTTTTTTTGGTACCGGGGATCGAACTTGGGCCCTTGCGCTTGCGAGGCAGGCGGTGGAACCACTGAGCTAAATTCCCAGCCCGTGAGTAACCTTTTTTAATTCCATCTTTATCAAGGTTTGCTAAAAGTCTTACTTTTTAGAGAACTACTGCATTTTAGGTACTAATAAATGATTGCCAATGAGTTAGATCTAAGAAAAATACTAATTTAATGAGGTATCTTTTTACTGTAAGTAGTAACAACCTGCTGCTGTCTTTCACGTGTGAAGACAGTACTTGAATAGCCATTATCAAGCGGGGACTGAGGTGTTAGCTTAGCGTTGTTTCATGATTACGCAGGCTGGCCTGAACTATGTAGCTCAAGCTGCCTGCGCTTCCCGAGTGCTGGGATTACAGGTGTGATCACCAAGCCTGTTTCTGTTTTAAACTCAGCCTTTCTTGCCAACAGCTCTGGCATTTACGGCATAACTGGCCATGGAATGGCTTAGTTATGGGGCACCAGCCTTGTTGTTTTTAATCTGCTGATAGCAGTCTAGGCTTTTTAAACTATACACTTGTTATAAAATGATAGGTCTGTTTTGTGCCAGGCACTAATGTATTTTATTGTCTTATCACAATAGCTACAACTATACAAACTTTATCTATCTCCTGGAGGAAAAATCTGAGGCACAGGGAGCTTGATTGTTACTAGGTTAAAAAGCTAGAGTGGTGAATCCAGGGTTTGAAGTAGTCTGCCTTCAGTTTCACACCCTGAACTTTCATCCTCCCTGGATTTAAAACCTACAGTTTTGAAAGCTAGGATGGGAGGTGTCCTGTAGGTAACCTATTTTGCTTACAGAATAAAACCTCAAATTTCAGTAGTGATTGGAAAATCAGTAACTGAATTTACCAGTATTTTAAAAATAGTTAACATAAAGCGTTTTAACATTTCCAACACCCTGGTGAGATGCAAATTCTACATTTCTATTTCGTAGAGAAGGAAAGTAAGGCTTACGTAAGGTAAAATGGCATAGCTCACATTATTAATCAAGTGGATCATGATTTCAGTGGGTTGGTCCTTAAGCATTATGAACTGCTTTTCTAGTAGGCAAAAATTAAATCTGAAGGTAGAAGTAGAGAACCAGATTAGTGGTTTATGTAGTAAATAAAACATTCACCTTTTAAGCACTGACTCAAGAAATCTGTATTTCTCCCATGGCTTTTTTTTTTTTTGGTACTGAGGATTGAGCTCAGGCTCTTGTGCTTGCAAGGCAGGCAGCAGAACCACTAAGCCAAACCCCCGGCCTCTCCTGTGGCTTCTTAAAGCTCTATCTAGTATTTGTTAGCATGGGTTAAACTGTCTATAAAACTGAAGATTATTTTATGATCTGGTATTTGTTAAAAAATCAGTATGCTGGGTATGGTGGCACACACCTGTAACACCACACTTGGGAGACTGAGGCAGAAGGGTCATGAGTTCGAGGCCAGCCTGGACTACATAGGCCGTCTCAAAATAACAAAAAAACAGTGGACAGAGAATTTGTTGTGTGGAGTTGGAGTCATGTGATCCACAGGCGAAGCGGGGATAGGTCAGGAACAGAAAGCTAGGTTGGGGTTGTAGGTGTCTAGGTACATATTAAATGTATCGGTATATGAGTGATTGGTGTCCTTTGGAAGGTAAGAGTGGTCTCGTAGAGAAATAGGGGAGAGCTTCTATTGTTTCTGCCTTGCCCCAGGTCTAGCAGTGTAGTCTGCTATGGATGAAAACCTCTGAAAACAGAGGCCAAGATAAACGTCCCGTTTGAGGGGAGTGCGGTATGCACATATTTGCCAGCAGTGCACATCCTGTCCTCTGTGTGCTCAAATCCCTGGCTCACTTACGTCTGCTTGAGTACAGTGTCCCCTTACCCTGCAGACTCACACGCTACAGAACCTACCTACTTCTGTGGCAACGTGGGGTACTCCCTCCCTCAGAGTGAACAGCTGGTTACCATGGAATTTGTTCCAGCCAAAGGTTCCAGTGATCTCCAGCAAACACTTGGGAGATCAGTCTTTTATGTGTGGGAACCCTGACTGGCAAAGGACTAAACACAGGAAGAGAAAAGTACTCAGTGGCTTTTATTTGAAATATAATTTTCAAATTTTTACAATACAGTGTGCAGTATGACGTTTCAAAATAAAGAATATAGATACACAGGCTAAGAGTACAGATGGGGATTTGTAACAACAGACGTCAGAGTGGTTACCTTTATTAAGGCTAAATCCCTGGTTTATATTTTCCATACACATTCATAAAATTACATTCAGATCATTCCTCATCAATACTTATACCTTAGGCCATGAGAAAAGGGGAAAAATCCAGACATTAGTTTTCATAGAAAGCAAATCTGGATTAATCTAAATACTATATTCTTCCATTTGTTCTGACTCATGAAAATTTAGGAAATGAAGATACTTCTTTATTTAGATTTTTTAAAGTACATTTTATCAACTATCGGAATAAGTGGTTAAGGCCTCCCTGACGCTACTTTCCAAGTAGAACTGCTGAGGGACAGAGGGACAGGAGTAGAATTGGCCAGAGAAGTTGTACAGCTAGATGTACAGAAGGCTTTTTCCCATTTTAGAAGTCAGCACAGCTCAAGTTTTCACTTTCTTTGGGGACCATGTTGAACATAGCACATTTGTATCGGTAAGATTTAGAACAGACCCAGATATAAACATTTCTATCCTTCAACCACTGAATGTGGAAGGAGAGAACTACTGGGCTTCCGTGACCCTGAAAATACATTACCTTACAGTTCTGAGAAGTGGCTTGTAGAGGATTTGTCTATGAAAGCCATGTGCCTAAGTCTTTATGGGACATAGCCCTACTGTGGCCCTAAGTTAGCAGGTGGCACAGCAGCCACTCACTGACACTAAAACCTTGAATGAACCTAACAGACTGTAAGTATTGAAAATAGTTACCAGTCACATGATGTAGTTCACAAAACTCCACTGTCAACCACAGACTACCTTTCATTCCTGAGAAAGTAAACTACAGAAAACTGAAAAGATTAAGTGCTAAATATATTCCTTGGTTTTCAAATCTGAAAATGGGTGTGATCTTTGTATTTTCCTGCTACAAGCTGGAGTGTTTCAGACCCGAGGAGACACAGTATTCCTCTCCTTGACCCATGAATGTTACTTTCTTCCTAAGAGAAATTACCTTGAAAATATCTCCATATACTCCCCAGTCAACTAAGAGGCCATGCAGATTTGAACAGAAAAGGCAACACACACATTGTTTACATTTGTTCCAATAAAATTATGTAGCTGAGAAAAAAACTATATACATGATATTAAGACACACAACTCATTAATGACAACTGCTTGTGTTAAATTACGTGGTAAGTCAGTATTATTCCAGTGTTTAGCTTTGGGAACAGGAAATGTAGCTAAAGTCATCATAAAAATAAAAAGGCATTCACATTTGAGGCAGGCGGTGGAACCACTGAACTAAATCCCTGGCTCTCACACTTGAGACTGTCACACATTCCTCTGTCCTTATAGGCCTGAAAAGACGACAAATTAACTTTCCGTGCCAATTACAATTTTAAAGTTACAGCTATACAGTACAAAAATCATACTAGCTTAACAAGCTGTTGCATTCTGGTCAGAAAGCAGATCTTGTCAGGAGAAAAACCTGTTTCTATATGCATAATAACTTTTCCTCCAGTTGCTTTTCCTAAAAGGTCGTCCTTTCCTTCTGACCTCAAAGTCGGTTGTCATGCTGCTCCCCTAGTGTGTATAGTTTAATTTACTCCAATGCTGAACAAGCATTATCAATGACCATTTGTTGATCTATTAAATATTAGTATACAGTATAGCAGCTATATTCATCAACAGAGTTCCAGTTATTTACAAATGCAGCACAGTTATAGACAAATACTGTGTTCATATATAAAAATGCAAAAACTGAAATGTGTTATGTTCTCCCGAGTATATAAAAAACTATTTGCATCATGAAGAAACACTGTACCTTATACACTCTGTTGTATTCTTCAGATCTGAGAAAGGAAGCAAGGCTATCAAATCACTTGCAAAAATTTCACAAAATTATATCTTTAAAAAGATCACCAACTTTTGTATACTTTTAACTGCATTATATAGAGTCTGCTGCGTATGTGGTCTGACCCACAAAGCTGGAGCTAAAAACCAAACCAAACCAAACCTGAGACTTCTAATGGAATTTGTGTTTGTTTTTAGTTAGAAGACCTACAAATGAATTCAAGGCTTAACAAGTAGTTCAAACCAAAGTGGCAACATTTTTCTTTTTTTTCTTTTCCCAGAAAGTACTTTTGATGGCTAACCCAGTCTCTTAAGCAAATACTGTTTTTTGGCCCAGTGCACAGATGCACAGTTTCCCCAAATATTCCCAGGAAGTCATTTAAGTGTTAAATAATGTCAATATTTGTAACTACTTGAGCCATGGATTACTGTGTATATACATAAAAGTTTTTCACAGGAAGTCAAGCAGAAAAGATATAGTTAGGTGATTAATAAAGTTAATCTCTGCTTGTTGAAAGCTTCCATTTACAAATCACCAGAGGAGGTAAGAATCCCTAATGCCATCTGTAGAGCATAAAGAATGCTGTGCACAAATTGCCTCTGGGGACTTTCTTCTCACAAGTTTTAAGGGATCTAAGAACAGGTTTGCAACTTATGCTGCCGCCTCCCACCTCCCACCTTACATTCCATCTTGCCAAAGTACCGGCCACCTTCCTATTGGCAGTTTGCCGTAACAAGTCCACTCCTGCACAGAATGACTGTTCCTTCACCTCAGCCAAGTGGATGGCACCCACTGAGGTTCGGTGTCAAGTTTGTTAATTAACCTAAGCAATTCTTGGTAGGCTTTATCAAGATCTGAATTCACAATTGCTGTGTCAAAGTAGTGGCCATTGTTCTGTTCCATCTCTCTAGTCTTCTCGATGATTTCTCTCAACTCTTCAGGCTACAAAGAGAAGATAAAAACTGTGAGATAATTCCTATCTACCCCAAAATATGAGATGAGTCAGATGGCCCAAGATAAGGACTATCCTTACATTGTTTTTGTCTCTATAAATATTCAACTTCTAGAGCTCCTTTTAAACCACTTCATGGGGCCACAGTGGTTCACAATTGTTCTGGCACCTTCAGGACTCACATCATAAATTATTTGGGACTGTAGGGCCAGGGACTTAGCTCAGTGCCACTGCACCCGCCTCATAAGTGCAAGGTCCTGAGTTCGATCCCCGGTACCACCACCACCACACCACACACCCACACCCACACTCTATTTAGGACTCACTCAGTATATCCTGTTTATACAACTATTTAGGTTTACACATACTTCTGTCTTTTCTCAGAAAAGACAGACTATAAAGACTATAAAGACTATATAAAGACTATAAAGATTTAGACCAACCAGAAAAATTGACTGTGTTACAGATGTTACTTTTAGGAAAAGGTTATGGTAGCCTATACTGTTTGAAAACAAACATTTGTAAGAAAAAGTAAGGCCTCAAAGCACCCTTACTCTTGGCTCTTGTAAAGAGGGCCTGCTTTTTAGGTCTCTAGCCGTGTTAGACAAAATGAACATTACGGGGAAAGAAAAGGATAGATAGAATGGTTTCTCTTTTTTTCTAAGAAAATCTTGCTCAACCTAATATGCACCAAGAGGTGAAAATATGCAGCTTAAAGCTTTGAATTACTGTTTTGTTTTCAATACATAAAGAACATCTTTAAGATGCAAAAGGTATTGTGACAGAGTCTGGGACTCTGTATAGAGCAGACTATTATAAAATATTATGTACAGGAAAGCACTGTTGAGCATGGACAAGCAGGTAGCGAGCCTATGTATAAAGCTGATCCAGAACCCTCTGCTCGTGAGACAGATGAGTTCAAGAAAGTGAAACTGCCCCAAATCACCCTTGTACAGATAACATAAGATCCAATGTCTGTAATAGAAAAGGTCATATCAATACTGTACTGGACTCAATTTACAAGAGAAGGAAAACATTAAAAACACAACTCGTGTAGTTCCACTTTTCATTCTGGAATGCTGTGCGTCTGAATGCAATACACAGTCCTTTGTTCCCCGGAAGGGACTCAACTTCAGCACAACAACTGAATACACTGACATTTCAGCTAAACTGTACCTTCCCATCAAAGCTCGAGATTAGCTTTTATTAAATTTAAGGCACTGTTTCGCTGAATATCAACATGGCTTATGTAACTGTTTAGCACTTACCTGAATTTGTTGTTTAAATTATAGTTAATGACTAAAATGAAACAAAATGTTTTATCTAAAATTTTTTGAACTGAAATAATTACCCTACAAACTGACCATCAGTTCACACTGTTAACCAATCATTCTCAAATCGTACCCTCCAGCAGAACAGGCGGAACACTTAACTTTCTCAGTACAATTTTATAAAGTTAAGAAGTTTTTACTCAGTACTTCTATCATGTGAAAAATCTCAAAGGCGTGCTCCCTTTAGCAGCACCAGCAGACAGCGGAACCATGGAGCTAAATCCCCGACTAGCAGGATCTATACTAAAACTAATGATACAGATAAGATTAGAATGGTCTCTGTGCAAGGATGTGCTGCAAATTCACTAAGCACTCCTGATGAAAAATAAACAAACTGGGTGTGGTGGCACATCTAGAATCCCTGCAGTTCGAGGCCAGCCTAAACTAGAGATCTTGTCTGGAAAAAAAAAAAAAGTGGAATAAAAGCTAGATATAGACCACCTTCGAACCAACAAATGTACAACACACTTTCACAGGTGTGCATGGGGTGTTCACTAAGAACAGGTGGACTATTACAAGGCTCAACAAAATTTTCAAAAGATTGGTTATCTGTCAGCATCTATTTTCTGACCATTATGGAAGTGTAAATCACAAAAGTATTTCTTAACATCCTCAAGTAGGTAGAAATTAAACAACATACTTCTAAATAACCATGGGTTAAATAAGAAAATGGCAGCTGGGCGTGGTGGCACACGCCTATAATCCCAGCACTCGGTAGGCTGAGGCTGAGGCAGGAGGATCGTTGTGAGTTCGAGACCAGCCTGGGTTATAGTGATTCCAGGTCAGTCTCAACTACATGTGAGACCCTGTCTCAAAAACAACAACAACAAAACCCAAAAGAAACAAAATTAAGAAAATGGTAAGGAAAATTAGAAAATATTTCTAATAAAATAATGACAATACATCAGAACTTATGGGATGCAAATAAATGCTTAGAGGGAAGTTTATAACTTCAAATGCCTGTATTTAAAAAGAAAGGTTTTAAAATTTAAACTTTCCTCTTCAGAAACTAGAAATGCAAATTAAAGTCACAGTAAGTACATGAATAAAAGTAAGCAAAAGTAAAACAGAATAGGCAAAAAAATAAAGACAAAAAAGCCATCTAACTCAGTTTTTCTAGTGTTTTTGGTAATTCCATTTATGTTCTGTATCAATTTTGTAAGCATTTCATTATATACAGATAAGCCTGCTGGGATCTGGGTAGGGAAGTAACAGCTTTGTTGTGATATAATTCATGTATTGTACAGTTTACCCATTTTCATGTTTAGGATTCCATAGTGTTTGGTACAGTGACAGAGTTCTGCAATTGATACCACAATCAATTTTAGGACATTAGAACATTTTATCATCTATCCCTTACCCCTACCCCTTGAAATCCATATCCATTAGCAGTCACTTTTTTTTTTCTCCCAATCCCTAGCCCTAAGCAACCACCAAAGTCCTTTAGGTCTTGACAGATCAGCCTATTCTGGAATTCCGTATAAATGGAATCATATGCCACATGTTCTACTGTATCTAGCTTCTTTTACTTGGCATGTCTTTAAGGCTCACCCCTGTTGAAGCATGAATCAATACTTAATTGCTTTTTAAAAATTGTTTAGTCCTGGGTATTGAATTGAGGACATCACACATTCTAGGCACACGTTCTACCACTGAACTACATCCCCCGTCCTTCCTATTTTCTTTTTGGTACCGGGGATTGAACTCGGGTCCTTGCGCTTGCAAGGCAGGCCACCGAACCACTGAGCTACATCCCCAGCCCCTCTTCCTATTTTTAGTAAAGACATGGTCTTGCCATGTGTGCACTGCCCAAGTTGGGCTCAAACTCTGGAACCTCCTGCCCTCAGCCTCTCAACTGCCGGTATTACAGATACGTACTACCATGCCTGGCTACTTCGTTCCTTTTTATTGCCTTTTTTTTTGTTTTTGAGACAACAAAGCTGCCTAGCTGGGTGTGGTGACACATGCCTATAATCTCGGTACTTAGAGGTAGGCAGGATAGTGGCAAGTTGGAGCCCCTGACTCGGGGGCTACAAGAGACAGGGGAGGGCAATGTAAAGGCCTTGGGTTCAATCTTCAGTTACCCCCCGCCAAACAAAGGAACAAAAAGTTCTTGTAAGAATCTTTAAAAGAAAACCAACTCTTGATTCTTAAAAAATGAGAAGGCTTAAGGCATTTCACAAAAGAATATGCTCAGATGAATACATGAAAAAATTATCTTTAGTTATCAGGAAAAGACAAAAACCATAACGATAACACTTCCCACCTTCTGGAATAGCTAAAAAGGTCACATAGTGACAAAAGCAGAAGTCGATCCAGGTACAGATTACCTGGAGCCATCATACATCGGTGGTAGGGGTATAAAATGGCGAACTTTTTAAAGATAGTTGAACAGATTTTATATAGTTAAAACACATATCTATGTGTGTATCCAAGAGAAATGAAAACATAAGACTAATGAATGTTTGCAATAGCTATTGACCATCAGAGCTCAAAACTGGAAACAAGTTTTCAACTAGAAAATAGACAAATTTTGGGAAAAATTTTTTGCTGGCCTTTCCTTAGAGGACTACTATTCTTTAAGTATATAAAGAGCTAAAAAGGACCCCCCAAATAAAAGATCCGATTGAAAAATGGGCAAGGCAAAATGAATGGACACTTTACAGAAGAAGCACAAATGGCCAATAAATACAGGAAGAAATGCGCAACATCACTGGCCATCAGATAAATGCAAATTTAAATAACACTAAGATTCCATCTTACTCCAGAAAGAATGGTCACCATCAAGCAATCAAATAAAATATTGTTTTCTTTAAATGTACCAATAAACTTAATGGAAAAAAAGAAATTAAATAACAACTAATGCTGGAAAGGCCATGGGGGAGAAAGAAACGCTTCTGTCTTGTTTGTGAGAATGTAAACTAGTACATAATCACTGTGGAAATCAATATGGAGATTCCTCAAAAAAGCTGAAACTAGAAATTTCATTTGACCTAGCTACTTCCCTTCTAAGTATCTTCCTGAAAGAGTTAAAGAGATCCTATTACAGGGAAACCTTCACACAAAATTCATAATAGCTAAATCTTGGAAGCAGTCCATCAACAGATATATTGATAAGGAAAATGTGGTTTTTATGCACAGTGGATTACTTCTCTGCTATAAAGATAAATCTGAGTCATCTGTAGGAAAATGGAATGCATTTTTGAGGCCATAATATTGAGTGAAATAAATCAGACACACAAGATTAAATACTACGTGGTTTCTCGTATGATAAACCCAAATTACGAAGAAAGAGCAAATTAAAGATAGACAAAATAGGAAGTAGGGAGAGAGATCCTTCTCAAATGGGAGAGGGGATGAAGAGATGGAGGGAGGGGAGAGAAGAGATGAAAAAAAAGAATGTGTTGCAGGGGATGTAGCTCAGTGGCACTGTTGCTTGCCTGGCAAGCTCAAGGTCTCAAGTTTGATCCCCTGTACTTAAAATAAGTGTGTTGTGTACATGTCCCAACTCCACACAAGAAATGTAAATTTTACGTACTGCAAACGTACTAATAAAAATAAAATACCAGTATAATAAGTTAAAATAAAAACGAAGAAAACTGCTGTTAGATGCAACATAGATGAATCTCAAACATGCTGAACCAAAGCCGGACACAAACTGAAACATAATGAATGACTTCATTTATATGAAGTTGAAACAAAGCCATAGTGACAGGAAGCAGATTAGTGGTTACTCAGGAAGAATGGAGAAATATTAACTCCAAAGGGGCATAAGAGAAAAATTTGTAGAAGAAAATGTTCTAAAATTTGACTGGCATGGTGGTTATCTAGGCGTACACTTTGCCAAAACTCAACTACACAATGAAAATCCATGTATATTGAGGTAAAATGTGCATTAATAAAGTTAAAAGGAATCTAATTACAAACTCAAGTATACTGTACATTGTTAAAACTTAGTGGTATGGAGTTCTTGCTTTAAAAACACAGGTAAACAGTATCTCCCTAGACTTTGCTCAATTTAGTGCAGCCAATTCAATACAAGTGATACAACTTCCATGAGAATATTACCAGATACCAATCGAATGAAAGTTGCTTAACATGTTTTGGAAGTGTAAGGCCCTTGATATAATACTGAATCCTTTTGGAAAAGAGCCTAATAAAATAAATGTGTATGCTAAAATTACAGAAAATTATGCTGAATAAGCAGAATGAAAGCCACCCTGGCCCACAGTGTGCATCCTTTTCCTGGGGCAATTACGGTGTTTCTGGTCTATCTACATAGTTACTGAGCACGAATTTTCATATACTACTGAGCTGTGTCCCTTATATTATGATCTTCCTCAAGAACAGCCGGCAATTATGTCTCATACTTCTTTTGTATTATCCAAGTGCAAAGGACAAGACAGATGATGGACTCCAGTTATCTGAATTTAAGTAAGCTACAATAATGGAAAAAGGGTAAAACATTAACCAGTTAGCCTATTGAGCCAAAACAAAACAACCAGAATTATACGTAAAATGGGAAAGCCCTGATGTCTATACCTTAAAACATTGAAAAATCCAACCTTACATACAGATTGAACAGAAAAATGTTAAGACAGAGTGTAAAAAGATATATTGGGTCAGGGCACAGAAGGTTGGTGGCCATGGTGTAAAGTCAAGAATCAAAGAAAAAACTTGTTATAGTGGTTTAAATGACTAGAGGTAGAGCAAATGAAACGCGACAATCTGAATAGCCCTTTCCCCCTTTTTACTTTTGTAGCACTGTGGATCAAACTCTAGAGCCCGTTACATCCCCCATCTGTGATTTCTCTGTAAAATAGGTAATTTAAGAAATAGCAAATGATCAAGAAAAATATGACTTTGAGATACCAAGCTTCTGACGTAATTTTCATTTTACACATTTAAAGTGAATACTTTCTGTATATGTGAATAATATCTGTATATTATCATTCATTGAATTATTAATATTTAATATAACATGGACTACATTAACCATATCCAGAATGGATACAAAGTAATTAGAAAAACTTTTTCTTCTATTCTAGATCATGTGAAGGGCTGGGGAGTTAGCTCAGTGGTGCTGAGTGCAAGGTCCCGAGTTCGATCCCTGGTACCCCGCCCCCCAAAAGAACAGATCATGTGAGAAGACCAAAAAGAAGAAAAAAACAAGAAAATTTTAATGGAAAAAGACTAAACTCTAGCATCTACAATTGTGGACCACTAAAGAAGAAATGTGGGCAATCCCCATGAGTTTGCTGAGAACTTTGTGGAGGGTAGTGACTCACATAATCCCTTTGGAAATGTCAGATGCATGTGAAGATTATAGATTTATACACCCCAGAGATTACCATACATTTGGAGTTAACAGCAGGAAATATCTGGGGGAACAAGAGCACCTTGCTGCTTTGGAGAGCTGCCAAAGTCCAACTAGTGGCAAGTATGGCAATTTGGGAGAAAGTGACAGTGCAGAGAGAATAATCAGTTTGAAAAGTGAAGTTGCTGTATCTTCCAAGCACTGTGACTCTTAGATCTGCATTGTATCATGTTTATCTTCAACAGAACCATACAATAAAGTAAGAACTTTACCTTCGGATTCTTGCCCTCTTTAGCCAGTAAAGCCCGAAGTCTCTCTTGGGAAGGAGGTGCGATAAAGATAATATATGGTTTCAAATCTGAATTCCGGAGAGTTTTCAAAGACTGTTAATAAAGATTATTGGATTTTAAAAATAATTTTCTATTTCTATCACTGAATTTTCAACAATATGCTTGGAACATTTTAAAAATACTGACAATATTTCTAAATATCTTCAAAACTATTCACAGTAGTATAAGACCATATCAGTAACTAAAATTACATAACTATAAATTCATGTATATTGTTAGCTTGCTTTTATGTAATGAAATATAAGTAACATTGAAAAATGACAACTATATGATGCTAAAATACCTCGCTAGTAAGTCTGTATACACATTATAACCATATTAAAAATCCATTTTGAAAAAAAAAATCCATTTTGGAAGAATTAAGACAACTATGCTCTTGACAGGCTTAAAAAAAAAAAAAATAGGGCTGGGGATTTAGCTCAGTGGTTCTGCTGCCTGCCTTGCAAGCACAAGGACCCGAGTTCGATCCTTGGTACCCCCCAAAAAAACACATTTTGGAGGAATTAAGACAAGATAATTATGCCATTGCCAGGCTTATTTAAGTAAAATCAGAAAGAAAACTTCATGTACACATGCCAAAAAAATTCTGGAAAAGGATATCCAAGGAAACAGATTTCTGAATTAACAGCGATCATTTTCATTTTCCCTTTATCACTGCATCACTGTAGTATCCTCAAACTGAAGAATTTTTCAAAAATGGAGATTGTATATATGGAATATGTCCTTTTCTATCTAAAAAATTTACGATACTAATTTGCTGAACTACTCTGAGTTCTTTGGTAAAATCTGTTCTCTCAAATAAAAAGGAATTCTGAAGGAATTTAGTAAAAACATAATCTCATAGATAAAATGTTTGTAACTGAAATAGTGGAGCCATATTCTTTGTCCACTAAAAAAGCAAACCTTATTAACTATTTTGGGACAGCCATTTTAAGAGTCGGTTCACCTGCATGTACATTCTTCAGTAATGACCACTGACTCTGTGGTTTGAGTTGACATTGCAACATTCTACCACATTAAAGAAAGTTCTTTGCCAAAGTTGAAAAAAGAGTTAAAACTTTCCCATAATACAATTTGTAATTTTAAAATTTCTAATTTTGTCTACTTACATAGAAACTCAAGACAAAGTTGCATTTTTAAATTTTTGCTTAGTCAAATAACTGAAACTGAGGATTAACTGGGACACTTATTAATACTCGAATACTAGCATTTAAAACACTAAAAATGACACTTTTTTGGTACCAAGAATTGAACTTGCGCTTGTGAGGCAGGCAGCGGAGCCACTGAGCTAAATCCCCAGCCCAAAAATGACATAAATTTTCTGATTTTTCTCATCAGAATCAGAAAAGGAAAATTATTTTATAGTTCTAAAATACCTAAAAATATTATCAATACCACACTACATATATATATATATATATATACATATATATATGTGCAAAGTGAAGGACATTTAGTAGCCTACCAAATTTTATATATATAGCAAATTTCTGGGAAAACTGTGAGAACTTAATGAAGCTCTGTTCTTGGAATAAAACAGTTTTACTAGATTACTTTCTAACACATGCCTTCTGTTATGGATTGTGTTAGATTTCACCCCAAAGCCTCATGCAATTATAGGGAGTGCTTTTCAGAGGTGGCTGGATCATGGTGCTCAGATCAAGGGTGTGTCAGTCCACTGATGGCTTGGAGCAATTCTGGCTAAGATTAAGGGTTTGAGTGATACACCCACCCTAGGGTGGGTAGCCTGCATAAAATATAAGGGACAGAAAGGGGGCTAATGTGCTCTTGCCTGCCTGCTGAGGACTATTTCTCCTCTGTGATGGTCCTCTGCCACACCCTGTCTTGCAGCTGGCAGAATACAAACTGAAATCTCTATGAACTGAGCCAAATAAACATTTTCCTCCTTTAACTTTGGATGTCGGGTTTTTTTGTCCCAGTGATGAGAAAAGTAACTAAGACACCCTCTTAAGTTCAACATTCTAAACCAAAATTCTAGCTTTACCTGTGTCCGAAGACTTAAAAGACATATTTTGCCAGAGTTGATCACTTGCCGTACAGAGTCTGTACTGGTTCCATACAAATTTTTCTCAAATTCACCATGTTCAATGAACTTTCCAGCTGCTATGTCAGCCTCAAATGCTTGACGGGAAACAAAGTGATAATCTCTACCAGCTACTTCATGGTCTCGCCTATTCCGAGTTGTATCTAGGCAAACAAAATCAAATAAAAATAACAGGATCACAGTGGAGAGGGAAGAATTTGTCTAGTTAGGAAGAATTTTTATTCTGTAACAGATTAGGAAACAATGAACTGAAGAAATAAATGTTCAGAGCCCACGTGTTTCTTATTTTTAGATTGAGACGTGAACAAGAATGTATTTGTAGTATCTCATCAGATTAATCTTCCATTTTATACTTTAAGTTACCTTGCATTTAAAACACAACTTACCTTTTCCTAAAGTTTATTATTTCCATCAGATTTAGTACTATATAATGTTAAAACAGAGCTTCTGTTTTAAGGAATTAGGTCTAGATTTTTACCTTCAATATCAGTTTAAAGAACAAAAAACCAGGAGCTGATTTCCTATTGAGCGGGAAATTGTAAAGGACCCGAAGTGAAATTAATTTGGAAAATAATTAGTACCACAGTGTTATGACAAATTGTTTCCCAAGAATTGCTTTTGATAAAAAATTATCAAAATAAACAAAATTTTTGTTTCATTGACAACACTGTCTCAGTCAAATGGATGAAAAGTGGGTTCTGAGGTAATAAATTGCAAAGCACAGGAAAATGGAGATGTGTTCAAACTTACGAGGAACTGCCAATGCAAAGCGGTCCTTTTCTTTGTTCATGAGCCTCTGACGCAATTCATTCTGGCCACAGTTTTGTGGACCAATCAAGATGATAGGTCTTTTCCTATTTGCTGGCTGATGATAAAGTGACATTTCCTCATAAGTTAAGATCTCCTCATTGTCATAATCTTTGGGAAAGAAAAAGTTTAAGCTCTTCAGACAGAATTACTGCCATGTCATAAAGATAGAAATTCCTATAGCTTTTCCCCCAACACTGGAAAGAAGCACAATTCATTATTAAAATGCTTAACTTTTATATCATGACAGAAATAATAAACATTACAATACCATGAGCATGTTCCTGTCACTATATTCTTGGCAGGGTACTACGAAAATGAAGCAGAGGAGAATATATTAATCCTCCTAAAATTTTTTATTGCTTATCTTGTTTCACAGAGTTGGAACATCTGATACAATTATACTGATCCTTACATAAAACAGCTCGTTTGCAGTGAACACTCTGAGGGTGGGATACCAGGGAGTAACCTAATAAGATTATCTGTCACTTTTGTAAAATGCGGACATTAATACTTTACTAACCCAGAGTCGTGATTTAAGAAGATGTAGAAATTGTGATGGGTGGGGAAACATTCCTAAAGCCCATAATCTAGATGAAACCAGAGCTACTAAGTGGTAAAAACAAAGGCAGACAACTAGCAGTGTGCCGCATCCCACCCACATTATTTTACCTGACTGGGAAGAGGCATTAGCTTACGTTAGTCACACTCAGCTCTAAATTCCATGAGGGCAGGGACCAGCTTAGTCTGGCCAGTGCTCAGCAGAGCTTGATACAGAGTAGGAGCTCAAACTACATCTGTTTAAATTCCAACTCAGCCAGGGATTCAGTTCAGTGGTTCCACTGCCTACCTAATAAGCACAAGGTGCCAAGTTTGATTCCTGGTACCCAAATAAATAAATAAATACATATATACATAAATTCCAGCTCAACTGTTTATTAGCTTGGAAGGATTTTTTTTTTCTTTTTTCTTTTTTTGGTACTGGGGATTAAACTAGGGTCCTTGTACCTGCAAGGCAGGCCACCGAACCACTGAGCTAAATCCCTGGCCCCTAGCTTGGAAGGATTTAAGCACATCGCTTTAATATGTGAATTTGAATCTATTAATCTGTAATCTCCTGCCATGGAATAGTGTAGACATTATTACTTTAATTTTGTTTCAGTACTGGAGATTGAACCCAGGGCCTTTCCACTGAAGTACATCTGCAGCACCACCCCAAAATTTATGTATGTATGTATGTATGTATTTTTGAAACAAGGCCTATGTAGTTCAGGCAGGCCCAGAACTCACTGGGTAGCCCAGGATGGCTTTGAACCTGTGGCAATCTTCCTACCTCAGCATCCTAAGTGCTGAGATTACATGCATGTGCTACCAAGCCTGGTTAGAGTACATATTATTAATGATAGATGTTTATTTAAAAATATCAGAGACACTGAAACTATCATGAACAAACTTTTCCTTTTTAAAATGTTTTTCTCTATCCTGAATTACTTCTAACATATACAACAAGATTGTTATAGTATTCTGATCTACAGATTTTATGTATTTGTTGGTTTCATTGTTACCAAGTTTTATATTTCCTTCTTTTCTTTCTTTCTTTGAGACGGTCTCACTATGTAGTTGAGACTGACCTGGAACTCGCTATGTAGCCCAGGCTGGTCTCGAACTCACAGCGATCTGCCTCAGCCTCCCAAGTGCTGGGATTACAGGTATGTGCCACCATGCCCGGCTCTATTACCAAGTTTTCTATAGCATTGCAGCTCTTAGAGCTGGACCAATTAATTTTAGTCTCCAAAAATAATGAGACATTAATTACAACCATAGAGGGTAAAATTAAAAACCAAATAAATTCTAATTACATAAACTTTCAGTTAACATTTTAAAATGTTTAGAAAAATTTATTAACGTTAACTGAATCAGATTTAGCATGGTATGGGATATTTCAATAATTTGTAACATTTTATTTTTATTAGTTTAATTTTTCATGATCTCAAATATTTCACATTCTTGAGATAATAAGCTTTGTAAATTGTATAAGGAGGAGTTCCTTGCTTTATTATTTGGCTTGTTTCTAACATGAAGCAAACCAAGTCAGACAACAAGGAAGACCAACCAAGAAGATAATGAAATCAGAAAATCAGGTTGGGCTTATTAAAAACTAAGAGACTTGAAAATGCAGAAGATACCAAATATAAGGGCAACAACAGTTATTCAGGTGCAACAGATTACTGTCGCTTAGGAACACAAGTCCAGTGTTATCAGAGCTTTTGATTTTAAGAGAAGTTACTTTATTTATCTATGTTTTTGGTGCCAGGGATTGAACTCAGGACCTTGCTCTTGTGAAGCAGGAGGCAGCACTACTGAGCTAAATCCCCGGTCCAAGAGAAGTTACTTAAAACTCTATCTTAGCAACAAAAAACATTGTGTGCCTGACTTAGCCAGTTAAGTAGTGGGCTCTGTGGGATGAGTTGCTTCTATGATATGAGCTATTAGAAAGGAAATATTAATATTTTACTTTAAACACAACTGTTATAAGAATTTGTTAGAAGTAAATAATTTTTCAAAGAATTTAAACAGAAAAATTAGAAGAAACCATCAAATTAATACTAATAATGCTAAATAGTACTTTACCTTTTATATCATTTTTTCCCCAGAACTTAAAACATTCATAGGACTAAAAAAGAAAATAATTTCAACAAACAACTTTCTTACATACATATATATTTAAGGTAAAAACAGGACTCCCTAGAATTATCAGCTTAATTTCTAGCATCAGACACAACTCCAGCTATGCCTAAGAGTAGAACTTACCATCATTTTTATTAGCATTATATAAGACCTTTTTCCTTTTCTTTTTATTCTTCTTTGCACACCATAATTTTCCTGAAATCATAAGTGTAAATGTCATATTTGTTTCATGAAACAAAGCTACACATTTCAAACTGAAGAACTCAAATTGTTTTTAATTAAAAATTTTAAAACACACTGTTCACAAAAATATTTTCTGATATTTAGAATTTTCCACTAATTACACATTAATCTTTAATCTTTCTTTACCATCCCAAAACAATCAGTTTTGCTTCTTTATCATTCTTTCCATAGTATATCTTTCTCAAAGTTCTAAATATGCAAATTTAAATGTGGTTCAAGGTGAAAACCCAAGGAACTTATTAGTGTCAAGTAGCAGTGTCTAACCTGATTTTTCTGGCTCCTTATCTTCTTCTATAGTTTGCTTCATGGCTTCTCTTTGCTGCTGAAAGCTCTTCCCTTAAATAAAAAAAGAAAAAGGGCAAAATATTTAAGATTAAAGTATAAAGCTTTTTAAAAATTTTTTTTGGTACTGGGGCTCAAACTCAGGACTTTGTGCTTGTCAGGCAGGTACTGTGTTGCTGAACTACATCCCTGGCCTAATAAAGTATTTTCTAATCAAGGAAAAACACTACAAGTAATTCTTCATATATATTTCCCTTCCACATCCTTTTGCCATTTGAAAATAATGTCAGCTATGATATATAAACCTCCAAATTCGACCCCACTTAACCAATCCTATGATATATATTAATGAGCCATAAATCTAGTATAAGCCAGTATTAGAAAATTTAGTAGTTCAACTTTTAAAACATTTTCATTGAACAATTATTATGTTGTAGAAAGTACTACACTAGACCTTAAAGTGGTTCTAGTCACCTAGAATTATATCATATAAAGCATGTCAATTTTCCAAAGTATGTGAGCATTCATCCCTTTATGATTTTAAGACACTATTTAACATATTCCCATGCATTTTACTTATAATCTCTCCTTTTGTTTGAATGAATGTATATGTGTTAATGGCTTTTCCCCCTCCTTTAAGTTACCAAAGATACAAATAAGTGAAAACATGTTTTTCCATCATTAAGATTTTAATGTAGGAAGCCGGGCATGGTGGCACACACCTGTAATCCCAGCACTCGGGAGGCTGAGGCGGGAGGATCACTGCAAGTTCGAGACCAGCCTGAGCTACATAGTGAGCTCCAGGTCAGTCTCAACTACATAGTGAGACCCTGTCTTAAAAAACAAAGCAAAACAAAAACAACAACAACAAAAAAAGATTTTAATGTAGGAGGCTTTCAAGGTGACTGACCATTTTCTTTTTAGCTCCCTATCTTAACATTGACTCTCTCTCCCTCCCTTTCTCTCTCTCTTTCTGTGCTAGTGATTGAACCCAGACCCCTAAGAATGCTAACTAAGCCCATGCTCTACCACTGAGCAGCACTCTCCTTAAATGTGCTTTTAGTATTATATACTTTCAACCAGGCACGGTATCTGTATCTGTAATCCTAGAACTAATCAGGCTGAGGAAGGAGGATTGTAAGTTTAAGGCCAGCCTGGGATACATTGTGAGATCCTTTGTCTCAAAAGAATAAATAAATAAAAATAAAATCAATATTACATTATCTCTTACCTGGAACCAGTCCAGCTAGGGGCTGATTATCTTCATCCCCCTCCCTGTAGGCCTGCCACCAGTTTGGGTCTTCTTGACTGATCACGTGAAGTATATCCCCTTTTTGAAAGGACAGACCTAACTCTCGACATGGAACGTAAGGGTCATCTGAGGGGTCATAGTCAAAATGAGCTTTAACATGGATCTAAAAGATAAAAAAGGGAAAAATAAAAACAATAAAATGATTGCAACAGAAAATATTTAGCATAAATATAATTCAAATGTTATGATTTTTCATCAGTGCAAAGAAATGAATTTTGAAAGTTGGTCAGTTAAGTAACAGTATTTGAGAGCAGTACTTGCTCAGGCTTGTCTGTTGAGTGTCCAAACTACTATATTATTACCAGCTAACAAGCTAAGGTGCAGACATGGCTCAACAACTTGAGAAACAGAAGAAACATAACAAACTGTCTTGCAAAAACAATTGACACTGTGATAAAGTACATAATGTCTAATCCATTGCCACCAGAAAGGCTGACTTTAAACCTCATCACTTCTCATGGAAGCAGGTGAGTGTCAATTTCCCTGGGGCTGTCACAGCCTCTTGACCCCAATGTCAGCATAACCGTGCTTTAATCTCTGCGAGTATTTCTTCTAAAGGCTCATGAAACAAGCACACTTGAACTGCTATAATTATCTAACTCAAGATTTAATCAATTTACATTTGTACACTAAGTAGGCTTCAAAATATCAATACAAGTTATAATTTTTCCTACCAATACTTTTTCATATGAGAATAAATCAAAGAATTGTTGTATGATACTACCATTAGAAGTAGTTAAGGACTCACACGAACTTCATAGAAATCTAAGTTATTTCCTATGGAATTTCTTCCAATTTGCCTTTGTTGCATTTCCAGTCTGTAAGAAACCTACCTTTAGTTAATGAAATCTAACACCTTTATGCAAAGAGTGTTTCTACTCCATAAAGGTAAAATTACAAGTTTGAGCTCAAAGAGCCAGCAATAAATTAGGTCTAGGAATTTTACAGCTGTCTCATTTCTTTTTATTAGTACATGTTTATAGTATGTGTTTACATTCCTTGAGTGGAGTTGATGCGTGTATACAACACATCTTAGTTCCTTTCTTTCATTCCCTTTCCCTCTGGCCCCTCCCTGCTCCCTATGTCTCTTGATCTCCTTCCCATTTGAGAAAGATCTATCTCCCAACTTTCTATTATCTATCTTTTATTTTGTGCTTTATCTATTACTTGTGAGTCCATTTCTAACCAAGAACTACTTCACTTTTTTGGGGGGTGGAGGTGAGGGGTTTGTTCAGTGTCTCGCCCTGGAATTTGTAATCCTCCTGCCTCAAACTTCACAGTGCTAGGATTACAGGGCTGCACCACTTCAACGGGCTCTGTTGCTTTTTCTAAAAACCATAAATGTGGCTATGTAATACTTTTCTTCAAAAGTCACTTTAGAGAAGTCAGCACTTTTTAAAGGACATAAACTAATAAAATTGAGTACTCTCAATCGGTGATGATGGACTCTATGACAGAGGTCCCCATTATGTGCAACTCTGGATCCTAATGAAAGCAACAGCTTCTTTCAGAAATCTGGTTTGAGGTACATTAAAGATTATTTCTTAATTTCCAAAGAAAATTATACTAATTACTATAAACAGAAAATGAGAAAAGCCTTCCACATACAAATAGCAAAACAGATTAAAAGGTGGCCCAGTTAAAAATGTAATGTAGCTGGGTGTGGCACGCATCAGCAATGCCAGCTACTCAGAAGGACCAAAAGTTAAGCCTAGCCGCTGCAACTTATTGAAGTCCTGTCTCAAAATAACAGGGAAAAAAGCAGGGGGTGCTGGGGATGTAGAGGTATAGTAGAGCACTTAGTGTGCCTGAGGGGCTGGGTTCAATCCCCAGAGTGGAGGGGAAAAAAGTAAAATAGCTAAGTACTAGAACTCAAATTAGTCTAGGGGGTAACTTTACATTGATGTATTTGCATGTATAAAAATATACATAATCACACAGCAAATTTTCATGAGCTGAATGCATCTGTGTAACCAGCATCCAACTGGAGAACCGGACTATCACCAGCACCTCCTCTCCTCAAAGGGTAAACACCATCTCAATTTCTGCAAACACTTATTCCCCATGTCTGCTTTATGTAAATGGAACTGCAGTCTTGGGTCAAACATGGTTAAGCTGTCTCACCCGATCTGACAGCATTCTGCTGCATCTCACACACAGCATGCCCTAAGGAACCTTATTCTTGACGTGACAACATTAGAACTATAATTTAAACCTTGAATACTTTGTTAATCAGTACCAAAAACAAATTTTAGATAGTTATATGGGATGGCAGTAACTCAGAGTTGAGAGATTAGTTAAGAGTACACAATGCAAATTTGTAAAATTAGTACGAGTAAATTTGTATGTAGGATGACCCAGAAATGTGCTTTTAAAAACTCTGAGTACTGCCTCGCAAGTGTAAGGTCCCAAGTTCAATCTCTGGTACCGCAAACAAAACAAATCTCTCAGTATTATCCCTGTCTGTTAATAATGCTTCTAGAATTTGTTTAAATGGTTATACTTTAGCCAAACAAAACAAAACAAAACAAAAAAAACATAGGAGATCTAAAAGTGAAATTTTAAGTATCACTTGAAGTAGTGGAGAGATTATTTTTATCAGGCTTCTCAAAGATGTACTGTACTAGACTACTTGTCAGACTGATGATTTTATCGTATCACTTTCTTTCTTTTTTGGGTACCGGGGATCGAACTCAGGTCCTTGCACTTGAAGGCAGGCAGCGGAACCACTGAGCTAAATCCCTGGCCCTGAAATCACTTTTTCAATGAAATACCCAACATATTGTTTTCCAATATGTTTTGCCAAATCACTTGCCTGAGATTTTTATTAAAATGGTGAATTTGGGACTGGGTGTGATAGTGTACATTTGTAATCCCAGTCCTCAGGAGATTGAGGCAGGAGGATTGCTGCGAGCCAGCCTGGATTACACAATGAGTTCAAGGCCACCCTGAACTACATAGCGAGACCCTGTCTTAAACCCTGCCCCCACAAAAGATAATATATATACCAATTCCCAAATTAAATGTAATTATTATATATCATAAATATATACTATAAAATTATTACACAAAAAAGATTATGTTGGGCTACATTTATCAGATAAAGAGCTGTGAATGTTTGCCAGGTAAGGTGGTACATACCTGTGATTCGAGCACTCAGGAGGCTAACGTCAGAGGATCACTGTGAGTTCAAGGCCAGCCTGAACTACACAGTGGTCTTAAAAAATAAAAATAGTGAAGAGGAAATAAAATAACTACGTTTACAATCTTTGCCAAAGGCCAACAAAATCACACAGAAAGCTTTTCTATCTACTCTTTTTTTTTTTCTTCTTTTGGTATCAGGGACTGAACTCGAGACCTTGCGCTTGCAAGCGGGCGGGTGGTGGCACCACTGAGCTAAATTCCCAGTCCTTTTTCTATTTACTCTTAAGTAGGCAATTCTCACCCTGTCATGGCTTGTGTCTAAATGTTCCCCAGAACCTCATGCAGTCTTTTTCAGAAATGGCTGAATATGGATTTTTGTGATGCTGGGATTAAGGGTTGTGATTAGTGATCTGCTTGGCACCACCGTAATCCTGGTAGTCTGGATGGGACAAAAGGGGCAGAAAGATGCTGTTAAGGTCCTCTGTTGCTTCTGTTACCTTCTGGCTGCTGAACTGTTTCTCCTTTGTTTCTCCTTTGCAAGGCCTTGTCTGTTACACCACCCTCCTTGGAGCCAGCTGATTATGGACTGAAATCTTTACAAACTGTAATCCAAATAAACCCTTTCTCCTCTAACTTTGGGTATTGGGCATTTTGCCTCAGTAACAAGAGAAAAGTAACAACACACCCCCTGACTAATTCTGGCTTAAATGGCTTGGCATGGAGTTTCTCTTTGGGTAGACCGGGAAGAGGACAAAGGACATACTTTGCTTATATGACAAATCCACTTGGCCCTATCTAAAATGTACCCAACAATTAAGATCAAGAAAAAGAACAGGGCTGGGAGTGGTGGTGCACACCTTGTAATCCCATCACATAGGAGGCAGAGGCAGGAGGATCACTGTGAGTTTAAGACCATCCAGGATTACATAGTGAGTTCAAAGCCAGCCTCAACTACACAGTGAGACCCTGACTCAACCCCCACCCCAAAAGAACAAGAACAAAAGCTCTTAATTTTTCCTAGGCAAAATATATTTCAGACTCAAAAAATTAACCATGTAAATGAGCCAAATAAAGTCTACATACCGCCTTCACATATATGACTTGTTTATTCATCTTAGTTCTAGAAGTTATCACTATCAAACTTCTCTCTGTAGTGACATTGTTTTGCACATAAAGCAAAACAAAGCACTTTGTTTTTTGAGACAGGGTCTCACTATGTAGTTGAGACTGACCTGGAACTCACTATGTAGCCCAGGCTGGTCTCAACTCACAGCAGTCCTCCTGCCTCAGCCTCCCAAGTGCTGGGATTACAGGTGTGTGCTACCACGCCCAGCTATGAAGGAGAAAAAGCTGGCCTTAATGGGAAAGCTCCAAGATCTAATAACCCTACAATCAATTAACTTCAGTACAATGTATATGATCAAAATGGTGTTTGGGTTCTAAATCAAATGAAATTTTCTATTTAATTTTTTTCTATTATTTATGGATTTACCTTTAGTTTTCAAAACTACCTGTAGATGAGAAAAACAGAAATTTAAGAACTGCCTTTGTGGCACCAAGCAATACTTTTCAATTATCTCCCCGCAACTCTGGGATCCCTCTTTTTCCTTAACATCAAAAAAGGAGGCTTGAACCAACCTCAGAGGAATTTTCTTTACTAATTATTGTCTTCTATTTTTTGCAAGAGTTTAGGCTGTGTAATCATCCTGTGTGATACTGCTGTTTCCTAGAAATATGAACTTAGAAAATAAAATCAAAGAAATAAGAATTTAGGGCAATAGCAAAGTTAAAGGAACTGCCCTGACTTGAAAAAGGGCACTGTTATGGCTTATAGCCAAGAGCCTCTAGCTCAGAAGCAGTTTCTGAATGATGACGGATTGTGAGGGTTTATAGCTGAGTTGCTGTTAGGACCTGGGATCTGGCGGGAAGAGGACAGTCGTGGGGGTGTGGCCGGAAGGGCTCATCCTCCTCTACTCCTCCCCTTCCATTTCTGCTTCAGCATTGCCATGACCCTCTGCCAGGGCCATTTTTCTTAAAGGCTGACATGAACTGAAACCTCTACAAACTGTGAGCGAAAATAAACTTCTCAGTGTCAGGCACTGGGCTCAGCAACAAAGAAAGGGTCAAAAAAAAAAGTGTCTAAGACAGGCACCAATCCAATATATACTGAAATTCTGTTATTTTCTAATAATTTACTTATAAAAATTTTACTGCATTATAAAATTCCAGATCTTCCAAGTGATAAAAAAATTACGATGAAAATAGTAAGTACATTTTATGAATACATTTGACTGTATTCTTTTTTCAAATTTACTTACAACCCGGTTATCTTTGTACTGTCAAACACAGAATAAGTAATAATAGCAACAGCTAATATTTATTAGCTATTAGCCTATAAATTTTCTGGCATATATTCCACCATTATTAAGCAGTGTGATTCTCCCTTCATTTTCATTTCAACTTACAGAGCTTTAAGGCAGATGAGAAACAGTCCTTTGCAGCACAGAAAACTAGTATGTTCTTCCTACATGTTATTTCAGTTAGAGTATGGAATAATTTTAAAGTTTTAAAGACCAGTGTGGGAAATTCATTTTTTTTTTTGGTTAAGCCCATGCTGCCCTCAATCTTTCTTTGCCTAAGCTTCTGAGGTAGCTAGGACTACAGATGTGCACTTACCATACCAGGATCAACTTTTTTTTTTTTTTTTGTACAGGGAACTGAACTCAGGTGGCCGAACCACTGAGCTAAACCCTCAGCCCAGGATCAACATTTTTAAAAGCTCTTTGAGAGAAGGATGCCACAAAGTTTGAACAATGTGTTTATTTCCTAAGACAAATGTGCCAGTCACCTAGGAATCAAACCACAAAGGTGCTAAGACTCTTGCCCTCTATAATTTTGCCTTCTGCTACTGAAAGAGTTTCCTGTTTGCTGCTATGTACAATACAAAAGAAATCGAACATTTCAGCGAGTACTCCCTACACAGCTTATTCTTGCAATACATGCTTAGTTATTTTTCTCATTGCTGAGACAAAATACCTCACACTCAAAGTCAAAGGAAGAAAGATTTATTTAGCTCACACTTTGAGAGGTTTCAGTTCATAACTGGCTGGCTCCAAGGCAGGGGGCATAGCAGACGGGCATCACAGAGGAGAATCAGTTTATGGCAGGCAGAATGCAGCGAAGTAGCAAACAAGCACCAAGGGACAACACCCAGCCCTCTTTCTGTCCTTTATATTCTATCTGTCCCTAAAGGGATGTAGCACTCACATCCAGGGTGAGGCAGCCATAATACTAGCAGCGCACCATGAATCAATCCCAGCATCACACACTCTATATTCAGCCCCCTCCAAAAAGCCACACCTATGACTTCGTGAGGGTTTGAGGGGACACCTAGCTACACACCGTAACACTCCCGTTATGATTCAGCAAGTGGTTATTTTTGGAGCTTCAAATAATATATCTATCTGAAATATATGTTTCTATTTATTTACTTTAGTTTTGGAGGACTTTGGTTTTTTCTTAAAAGAAAAGAAAAACACTGAACCTTACCCTATTTTGAAAAGAACCTTAAGAACGTTATTAATCAAACGCTGTATTTTAAAAGGGATAAACCTGCCACCCCCGCAAGCCATTTCATTTTCTCCAGTAATTCCCAAGATTGTTCACCATGATTCTACTTTTCCACAAACGTTCCATCAGACATTCACAACAAAAAGTAGGTAAGACTTAAATAAGTTATTTCATTCTAAAGTTCAAACAATCTGAGTTCTCAATTAATTACTTCAATAATCTACCCTTGAATATAATAAGCAGCAGGTATCAACATAACACTTAGATTAATTTTATCCATTAAAGAAATGATTTTTTCAGAAAGTTCCAGACTGAATGCAGAGCAGAAAAGAAATGGTGACAAAATGTCTTAGGTTCTGACACGCATTCTAAAAAGGTGAAAGTCACTTGCTTAGGAGGTACAGATTACTATAAACATTTAAGCAATGAATAGTCCAACCCTGTAGAGCTACTTTTGAAGTTCAAGGATTATTCACAGGAGAGTTTGAACTCAGAGACTAGCTTTGTTTCCTCATTTCTCTTCCTGAAAGAATCATAAACAGAAGGAAGGTTGCAGATGCAACATCAACTTTAATGTGTTCCATAAAAAACAAAAAGAAAACATGGAATGACAGCCGAAATATAAAGCCTATTTGTGATAAAATATTGAGAAAAAAATCAAGTTTTTCTTTCTCAAACTGTTAAGCTTTTATAAAAGTTTAAAATAACATATGCAATACATCAGGCTACTACGTTAGTCCAGCATTATAGTCTTTTTTGCTTTTGTTGGTTTTTTGAGATACTAGTCTTGTTCTGTAGTTCAGGCTGGCCTTTAATGAAATAAGTAGTCTAGGCTGCCCTCAAAGTCATGGCAATCCTCCTGCCTCAGCCCCGAGTGCTGGGATTACAGGCATGTACCACCATGCCTGGCTTAAAAGTCTATCACTTTTAACAATTTGCAATATAATTCATAACTGCATGACTTTCAATATATTGTGTTATAGAACTATCCCCACAATTTTAGAATGTTTTAATCAGCACCCAAAAACCTCAGTATTGATAGCGATTATTTTCATTCTGTCCTAATTTCCCATCCTCACATGTAAGAAATCACTAATCTATTTTCCGTTTCTATAGATTGACCTATTGTGGACATTTCACATAAATAAGCCATACATGGCCCTTTGACTGGCTTCTTAGCATAATTTTTTCAAGTTTATCCATGTTGTAGCATATATAGCTTTTTATATCAAATAATAGCCCACTGAATAGATAAATCATACTCTTGTTTTCCATTTATCAGCTGATGGATATTTGGGTTGTTTTTACTTTCTGGCTACTACAAATAATGCTGCTATAAAATTTTTTTTTTTTTGCTGTTATAAATATTTATGCAGAAGTTCTGTGAAGGTATGTTTTCAACTCTCTTGGCTATATATGTAAGAGCAAATGCCGGATTACACAGTACATAATAAAGTGCATCTTCTAATATAGCTAGTTGAGTAAAAGTTTAATATAACATGTATACAATATTTGTAAAAGCACTTCTATACTAAGTATGTTTATTTGTTTTGTTTTGTTTGAGACAGGTTCTCACTATGTAGTTGAGACTGAACTGGAACGCACTATGTATCCCAGGCTGGTCTAGAACTCACAGCAATCCTCCTGCCTCAGCCTCCCAAGTGCTGGGATTATAGGCGTGCGCCACCACGCCCAGCAAATTGTTTTGTTTTGTTTTTTGTACCAGAGATTGAACTCGGGTCCTTGTGCTTGCTGAGGCAGGTGGCAGACACTGAGCTAAATCCCCGGCCCTAAGTATGTTTAAATTAAAACCATTTATAACTATAGAAAGACAAAGGTCAATGTTGGAAATAAGAAAACTTCTGAAATTGAAGTATTTTCTGCTTTTTATTTTAAAAAGGTTCAGAATTTACTATATTTGAAGTGCCTACATATTTAAATAAAAACTACTGAATTTACTTCTTTACTTGAATGCAAGAAACTGTGACATTTCTACACAGATAAGTAAACAACAGCCAAACAACAATAAATAACAACATGAAAAAGTCACTCACTACTGTTTCCTTGGCAGCAGGAGGCTTGATCTGTTGACTGGGAATCAGAACAAATGTCAAAGTACCATGCATATCAGACTGTAATAGAAAGACAGGTTTACTTTAAAAATATGCATTATGAAAATCATTCCATGATCTTATGAGCAATATTTCCCAAAATGGATGATTCCAAAACTCCTCCATCGTCTGTTTTGTTCTTTTTCTTCCTGTGCAGGATGGGGGATTAAATCCAGGGCCTCACACACTATATGCAAGTGCTCTATCACTGAGCTACATCCCCAGCCCTTTTTATTTTGTTCTGAGACAGGAGGATCTCATTAAATTGCTCAGGCTGGCCTTGAACTTGAGATCCTCCTGTCTCAGCCTCCCAAACAGCTAGGATTACAGGTGTGTATCACCATGCCCAGCCCTACAAAATGTAATATGCAAATATTCTCAATTCCCAGATGCTTTGTTTTTGATATATTTTTTTAACCAGAGTCTTACTGCTAGGTTCAATATTATTGCTCAATACAACATGCATGCCCTGCTTATTCAGATACTTTTAGCCTAGAAAGTAATCATAACAACCAGTACTGATATAGCAGTGTTCAACCTAAGACAGCAAACACCACATTGGGTTAAAAATAACAATGAATGAATGCCACTTTGCCTTACCAAAGCAATAAACCGGGTTGAATAGAAATAGGAATATGAAGGGTGTATTTTAGATTTTATAGTAGCCACTGGCAAATAGTACAGGTTCTACTCTAGCAACTGATGCTTAGTAATTAAGAATGCAAATTTTGGGACCGCGGATTTAGCTCAGTGGTTCCACCACCTGCCTTGCAAGCTCAAGGTCCTGAGTTTGATCCCCAGCACCAAAAAACAAAACAAAACAAAAAACAAATTTTGGTTTGTGAGGTATACAAAGTGATCAGAAATTGCCCTCAAAAGATAACTATAAGTAGCTGGGGATTTAGCTCAATGGTGCTGTTCCTGCCTTGCAAGTGCGAGGTCCTGACTTCAATCCACAGTACCAGAGGGGGGGGGAAAGGTAACTATAAGCCTAGCATGCATAAGGCCCTGGGTTTGATACTTGGCACCATACACACACACACACACACACACAGAAGATAATGACTTCTTGATTATAGAGCACTGTACAACAGAAATTTCTTCAATAATGGAAATATACTATAACTATAGCTGTATCTTAATAGGGGAGCCATTAGTAACACACCGAATTGCCCTTCAGCACCTGAAATACTACTAGTATGAATAGGAAGTGAATTTTATTATATTATACTCTGTAGATCTATGGAACTATTCTTATCTAATATTGTTGGGGAAAAATTATTGTAGATAAAAAAAAAAATGAACAAAAAAATCATGAGGACCTGGGCATGGTGACACATGTTTGTAATCTTAAACACTTTGTGAGGGGGCCAAGGCAAAAAGATCAAAAGCTCGAGCCAAGTCTGGGCAACTTACCAGCTTAGCAAGATCCTATCTCAAAAATAAAAATAAAAACAAAAACAAAAACAGGGCTGGATATAGTTCAGGGCAAAGGCACTGGGTTAAATCCCATCTACCACCACCAAGAAAAAAAAGAGGATGTGGACTTTTACTGTTGTCCCAGTGGCTAGCACATACTAGCATGCACTCAGTAAATATTTAATGAATGGACTCATTAGTCGTACTACTGTTTGCTTCAGAAGCAAAGTATACTTTGTAGTAATAAAGTTCAACGTAAAGTATCAGTAGTATTCAACCAAAAATAAATTCTACTAATACTGTGAAAGAACTGTATCATAGGAAAATAAGGCTAGAAACTGTCCTGGGCTCTTAACTTTTGTGTGTATGGGGCGTGTTACTGGAGATTAAACCCAAGGCCTCTGCACTGAGCTACACACCCAGCCTTTCTTATTTTTCATTTTGAGACAGGCTGTAAGTTGGCCAGGTTGGGCTTGAATCTGCAATCTTCTTCTTTTTTATTTGGTACCAGGGATTGAACTCAGGACCTTGTGCTTGTGAGGCAGGCAGCAGAACCACTGAGCTAAATCACTGGCCCTGCAATCTTCTTGTCTCAAACTTCCAGTGTGCTGGGATTAGAGGTAAACAGTTTAAAAATAATTTATTTTAAATTTAATAACAAACAAAACAGTTTTTCAAAGGTATAAATTATTATTCTACTTGTGTCCACTTACCAACAAGTCAAAAACCTCATTGACATCTTTCCCCCGAATTTCAATGCCATTAATCTCTAGAACTTCATCGCCTTCATGTAAGAGACCACTTTTCTCTGCAGCTCCTCCTTTTACAATTCGGCTGATGATGACGGAATCCATTTCATTACGAACTGTGGCACCCTGAAAAGGTCAATGTCTAGTTTAATTATAAAAATAGCTTTTTGGTTAAGCCCTTCTTTAGTTTTAAATTATAATTTTTCTCTAACATCTTTTCTGTGCCACATATGTGCTAGTTCAGATTTTAGTAATTGATCCCTTTTGCTGTATTTTAAAAGTAGTTATATTAATATAAACTTTGTAAATAAACAATTTTCAATCCAAGTGAAAAAAATTTCTTTTCTCAACACTAGCCTTCAACCGCTTGGGAAAAAAATTTACTTACATAGCTGGAGTAATAATTGTCATTAGATTTGAAAGCAGATCATTTCCCCTGTATTTTCTGCTTTTAGAAACAGTGCAGTAGAATTCTGATTATCAAGTGGATTTTTGAAGTATACAACAGCAGAAAAATGCACTTGCTTAAAAACAATGTGTGAAGACCTATAATCATATTTATTTTGCATACCAGAATCCTATACAAATGGTCATAATATATTTAGGTAAAAGTAATGAACGTAATTCAAATTATAAATAGCCTTTTAATATTCAAAAAACGATGAAGGGAAGAATACCAATCTGGGTCACTACGCAAGTACTAAATGTATTAGCTACATCTAACTCACATTAAAATGTATTAAACATTAATAGTTTTTTTTCCTCTTTTTTTTTTCCCCCCTCATTGAGTTTATTGGTACATTTTAGGTATACAGTACAGTTACATTCATTATTGGGATCTTGTACCTTTACATGACAGGTCTTGGTTCTCATTTTTTCCCCTTGTTCCTGCCCTCCCTTCACCCCTCCTCCCCTCCCATTTACAAACACTTCATTTCCATTTTTTCATTTTCTCCTATTTTTTCTGTTCCCTTATTTCCTTTCCCCCACCTTTCCCACTTTCCCTACACCTTTAGCCCCTTTCTTCCTATTTCACACTGTCAATTATATTATTAGGATCTTATGTACTATTATAGTTTATTCACACCACAGAAACTATTCGGTATTTACACATGTGTGACATTTATTTCACCTCTTGAAGACATTGGCATAGGAAAAGATTTTATGAACAAATCCTCAGTAGCACGGGAACTAGCAGAAAGAATCAACAACTGGGATCTCATCTTATTAAAAAGTTTCTGCACTGCAAAAGAAATCATCAACAGAACTAAGAGATAACATACAATGTGGGAAAAAATTTTTACCAGCTGCTCCTCAGACAAAGGACTATTATCTAGAATATATAAAGAACTCAAAACAATCAGCCCCCCCAAATATAAAGATCCGATTCAAAAATGGGCATCCGAAATGAACAGACATTTCTCAGACAAAGAAGTAAAAACAGCAAGTAAATATATGAAAAAATGTTACACATCATTGGTCATTTGAGAGATGCAGATGAAAACAACACTGAGATTCCACCTCACCCCACAAAGAATGGCTGCTATCAAGAAATCAAACAATAACAAATGTTGGCAGGGTTGTGGGGAGAAAGGAACCCTTCTCCATTGTTAGTGGGAGTGCAGACTGGTGCAACCACTATGGAAATCAATATGGAGATACCTCAAAGAGCTGGGACTAGAGGTTCCATTTGACCCAGCCATCCCTCTGCTGGGTATCTTCCCAAAAGAATTAAAAGAATCATACCACAGAGATATATGCACACCTATGTTTATAGCAGCACAGTTTGTAATAGCTAAAACTTGGAAACAGCCCATTTGCCTATCAGTTGGAAACTGGATAAAGAAGATGTGGTCTTTCTATAAAATGGAATATTAGCACAAAGAATGAGAAATTAGATTCATATATAGGAAAATGGATAGACATTAAAATTTATTATACCTATTAGAAGCTTTAAGTGAAAAATGTATGTTCAAAAATTGAGAATACATACAGAATAAAGTTGTTCTCATAAACTTTTATTTTTTACTTTCTAGTTTTTTTGCTTTTGGTACTAGGGACCAAACTTGGGACCTCCTTGTGTTTGTAAGGCAGGTAGCGGAACCACTGAGAAAATCCCCAGCCCATAAACTTTTATTTTAACATTTTATCTTGACTTTTCAATTTTTATTCTCGTGTTTTTTCTGGTACTGGGGACTGAACTCAGGACCTCGCACCTGCCAGGCAGGTGCAGTGCCACTGAGCTACATCCCTAGCCTCAATATTTATTCTCTTGGTGGCGAGAACTTTTCAAGCTATAATTTGAGACACCAGGATTGAAGAATATTTCTTTGATAACAAAAGAAACTAACTTAAGGCAATAAGAGCAGACTAAGAAAATAAATTTGAGAAGTTTTATATATAAAAGCTGTAAAGCAAATACTAAGGTATACTCTTAAGAATATGTGAAGTATGTAAGGAATTGTCCTCAGTAAATTTAACAGTATTAAAAGATCAGAATCTCTTCTTTTGCGGGAGTGGATTTTTGAGATAGGGTCTTGCTGTATAGTTCAGGCTGGTCTTGACCTATCTATGCTGTCCAAGCTGGCCTTGAACTATCAGCAAACTTCCTGCCTCAGCCTCTGGAGAGCTGGGATTGCAGTCATAAGCCACCAAGCCTACCTCAAAAAAATCAGAATTTCTAGTTCTTGTTTTTAAAAAGTTAGGAGAACGAAATAAATTACTTACCCTTCTTGTTCCTCAACAAACATTTCACAAGCTATTATTTCCATCCAGTTACAGGTGAGAAAAGATGACAAACAAATTTTTGTTAACTGAATAAGGGATATGAACAACAAAATAGAAAAACTCCAACAAATTAACCTCAGAAAAGAAAAACCACCAAGATAGTTGTCAGCTATCTGTGAGGCTTTTGTGTGGAAAGAAAGTTGGATCAGAGATGAGGAACACTTACCAACGGAATATCACGAGCCTTTTCTATACGAACTATTTTTACAGTTTCTCCTCCATACTGGCCAACGGTTTCATAAACTTTCTCATCTGCAATGGGCTCTAGCTGCATTTCCTGCTCGGCAACCTTATCATGGGCCAGTAAAAGTGCCTGTTTCAAAGAAATTGATAACATTTTAACAGCATGACTTATTTCTGAAGGAGACTTTTTAACTCATCATGTATACATGATTCTGTTCATTAAATCTTTAAAGTTGCTATAATTAGTTGTATGATCATATCTCTTCCCAAACTCTGCAACTCAATTACAGATGCAACCCCATATATTTTTGAGCTATTGATAACTAAAGCTGTATGGAGTATATCAGGGCATACACTGACATGGATTATGAAAAACCCAGAATGCTTTTTAAACTTTATAAAAACATTAATTGAAATGTTTAGACATGCTAGCTAATTAAAATTATGGAAAATACATAACACCCCCCAAAAAAGCAAGTTAACTTGTCCAATTTTAAAAGAAAAAATGTTGTTTCAAAAATAATTTGGTTTTTTGAGACAGGGTCTCACTATGTAGTTGAGACTGACCTGGAACCCACTATGTAGCCCAGGATGGTCTCGAACTCCCAGTGATCCTCCTGCCTCAGCCTCCCAAATGCTGGGATTACAGGTGTGTGCTACCACACCTGGCCAATTTGGTTATTTCTAAATAAGAATATTTATAACCCAATAATAATAATTATGTTGCAGAATGGGTTGTAAATAATAACACTGGCTGGGTATTTTTTGGGGTCTCTTCCAACCTTATTTTTTTTTTAAAAAAAAAAAAAAAAAAAGAAAAGAAGAGAAAGGCTGACTCCTGTGGGAGATGCCATAGATAGGGTCTGTTCATTTTCTACCTGAATATGTGGAGCATTCAGCAAAGCAGATAATTCCTGTCCTTCTTTCTGGTGGGTTGGTTTCAAAACAGTCTGTACCTAAGAAACAGAAACAAAGATTATTCTTCCTACTTTACAGGAAATAGCAGTAGCACCAATGCAGGGTAATGTTTTAAAAGTCCAAATCAAAACAATAAAAAGTACTTCTAAGATGATCTCAATCTGGATCTGCATTCACATTTTTTTTTTTTTTTTTTTTGGTTTTTTGAGACAGGGTCTCACTATGTAGTTGAGTCTGACCTGGAATTCACTATGTATCCCAGGCTGGTCTCAAACTCATAGTGAACCTCCTGCCTCAGCCTCCTGAGTGCTAGGATTTTTCTGACTTAATGCTAGTTTTTTTTTAACTTCATCTGACTTATCAAAGGTCTATTGTTCTTTTCAAAGAATCAGCTTCTAATGCTACAAAACCTATTTTTTCCTTCCATTTAAACATTTTTCTAACTTTATTTTACTTTAGTTTCTAATCACTTGATCTTTAAGTTGTTTTTATGTCCAATATTTTCTCTTCTACCATAAATCCTGTATTTATCAGTACTGTACAAAATTTCTTCTGCTCCCCTCCCAAAAGGAAGGACTCTTATTATTGATGTCTTTCATTTTTTTCTGTTGTCCATCCCCAAATCCAACTACCTACAAAAATAGGACTTTGTAATAATGTGGATAGCAAAACCAAAATTATCACTATTAATTAAATCATGCAAACATAAATCTATGTCAGGCATAATGATGTACACCTGTAATCCTAGCACTATGGGAGGTGGAGACAGAGGAACTGACGTTTTGAGCCCAGCTTGGGAAATTAAGCGACACCTTGTCTCAAAATCAAAGATAAAGGGTTGGAGGTGGTGGTGGTACACACCTGTAATCTCAGTATTTGGGAGGCTGAGGCAGGAGGATTGCTGTGAGTTAGAGGCCAGGCCAGGCTATACAGAGTTCAAGGCTAGCATGAACTATATAATGAGACCCTGAACCCATGCCCCCCCACTCTACTCCCCCCAAGCCAAAAGAAAGTTCTCAGTACCACAAAACAAATACATATACAGAAATTATTTTGAGGAAGGCATACTAGGGATTGAGCCTAGGGCCTTCACATTGAGCTACCTTCCTGGTCTTTTTTGAAATTTCTAATTTTGAGACAGGATCTCATTAAGTCACTAAATTGCCAAGGCTAGGCTCATATTATGAATCCTCCTATCTCAAACTCCCAAATTGCTGGGATTATAAGGGAATACCACCACACCTGGCTACATATAGAATATTTTAATGAGAATAACTCATGATTAAAATAGGAACTTATTAATTCTATACTATTTGGTCAGTAATTTTCCAATTAAACCTAAGAGATGGTAATTTGGGAATTAATTTTACCATAGTATATCAAACTGATATTATCAAAACCAGTCTGTCCCAGGGTTTCTAATAGCATTCTATGTGTATAAAAAAATTATTTGCACTGAAAATTATCTTTTTTTTTTGGTACTAGGGATCAAACTTGGGACCGTGCGCTTGCAAGGCAAGTGGCAGAACCACTGAGCTAAATCCCTGGCCCCAAAATTATCTTCTTAATTCCATTAAAATCTAATGAACAAGGTCATGATCTGAAAATATGGGTAACTAAAAGCTGATTTTTGATATAGGATGTTTTCATTTTTAAAATTTATTAAATCTACATTAATGTAAAATGAAATCTTGCTGGATGTGGTGGTGTACACCTGTAATCCCAGTACTCAGGAGGCCAAGACAGGAGAATTGCTGTGAATTCGAGGCCAGCCTGGACTACATAGTGAGATTGTCTCAAAAAACTGAAACCCAAACAAAACCAAAAAAAATCTATAGTCCATGACTATACATCTTGTTTTTTGTTTTTGGTACTGGGGATAGAACTCGGGCCCTTGTGCTTGCAAGGCAAGCAGCAGAACCACTGAGCCATATCGCCAGCCCACGACCATACATCTTTTGACTGCAGAAAGTAACTCTTAGGGAAAAACATAATTCTGGATTAAAAATATACCAAGGTGAAAAGATACAAGTAAACTTAAAAATGATTTTTTGTACCAACATTTTTGCCATTTCTACTTTAAAGTCACTTTCTAATAGTCGCTGAGAATATCCTTCTTAGAAGCTTAGATTTCCTATAAGTACTTATTTTCCCTTCCTTTTTAACCCAGATGTTACCCATTCTCCTGTCAACCCACAACATCAGGCAGTCTACAAAGGCCTAAGAATTAAAAGGCTGGCCTTCTATCTTACTGGCTCCTTTCCATTGCCCTATAAAAATGCTGTAATGTCTTATCTTTAAAAATGTTCACTTCTAACTTTGTATTTGTCTCTAGCCATACGGTACTACTTTTTCTCCAGAGACAATCAGAGAAGCAGTATGTTAAATGTGAAGATCAGAGGACAATCGAAGGGAAAGAAGTAAAAGGGCTTTTATTGTACTTAGGGATAATCAACATTCCTTCCTTACTTTTTATGCTTCCTTTTACCAAAGTATTCATTTCATTCAAATTAGAATAAAATTATATGTTCCCTGTTCCTCTACAACTTTACATTTCATTACTTCTTTCTGTTTATTTCAGTGGTTACAACCTCCAGAAAAATGCTGAATACTAGTGGTGACTATGGATATTATTTTACTAGAGGATTAAATGGTAATTTGGTAAGATGCCATTGGTTTCTGGCATTATTTTTTGTCAAGTTAACAAAATGTGCTTCACTTTCTAAAATTTTCATCTCTGTGAAAAAAGTACTGAAAGTTTAAAAACTGCCTTTTCTGAATCAAACTGATTTTTCCTTCCATCTATTCAGGTGAATTACTTTAAAATATTTACTAGCTGGCTATGGTGGAACACACCTGTAATCCCAGCACTTGGGAGGCTGAGGCAGGAGGATCAGTGCACGTTTGAGGACAGCCTGGGCTACATAGTGATTTCAAGACCAGTCTGAACTACACAGCAAGACCTTGTCTCAAAACCCAACACAAAACAAAATATTTACCTAAGTATACCCATTGTAAGATAATTTAAAACTTATTCATACAATTTACTTGGCCTTCAGGATTTGGACTCTATCTTTTAAGATTACATCCTATCCTTAACTCATTGTTGAAGAAACATGCCAGGGTTTCTCTGTCACAATCACCTTTGTGCCCTTTGATAAAAGAATGCCTTCTCTTTGTACAGAAATGGACAGCCATATTGGTCCAGAAATGTTAATTTATTTTTATTTTTATTTAAAAAAATTTTTTTCCCATGTGTACAGGGGTTAACACATCGTACTAAATATGTAAGGTCACATCTACGTGGGTATGATTACAGAAACCAGTATTCTCTAAATAATGAAAAAAGAATAAGATAAGAAGAAATTTAAATATGTTCAGGGACCATTTTCATCTCCAGAATTACGGATTATTTTAATCTTACATCATTGCCTTTTCTCTTTTACTTTCCTTTTTTAGTTTTATTTTAGGATTCCCTATTTTTAATGTTCATACAGAGATTTCTTTAACTGAAATACCGAATAGTTTCTCTGGTGTGAAAAACTACAATAGTACACAGGATCCTAATGAGATAATTAATAATGTGAAATAGGAAGTAAAGGCTAAAGGTGTAGGGAAAGTGGGAAGGGTGGGGGAAAGGTAATAAGGGAGAGGAAAAAAATATGAGAAACTGAAAAAATGGAAATAAAGTGTTTGTAAATGGGGAGGGGAGGAGGGGTGAAGGGAGGGCAGGGACAAGGGGAAAAAATGAGAATCGAGACCTATTATGTAAAGGTACAGAATCCCAATGATGAATGTAACTGTATTGTATACCTAGATTGTACCAATAACCTCAATAAAAAGAATGCCTTCTCTTTTTTGGGTACCTGTAAATTGCTAATAATCCTTTGAGACTCGGCAAATTACCTTTCCTTCTTTCTTCTTCCTTCCTATCATTCTGCTCCTCCAGACCTGCCCCCCACCCCACCATGTGCTGCTGTCACTTTCTCATACTGCCATCAGAAAGCTCGCATCAGACCGCAATATTCAACTTTTGCAAGCTGAGAGATTTCTGGGTCACTTACAGTTTCTGTTATCTGACTGACAAACATTTGTGTCAATAATGTTTTCTTTTTTCCTGGGCCTAGGAATGAAACTGTTGGATCATAGCATATGGGTACACTAACTTTAACAGATATTGTCAAACATTTCTTCAAAGCGGTAGTACCAATTTATACACTACCAGCTATCTACTGCTCCATAAGTTCACCAACATTTGCTACTGCCAGTCTTTTTAATTTATAGTAATTCTAGTGTCTGTGAGGTGGTATCTCAGTTTGTTTTAATTTGTATTTCTGTTGGTTAATAATGCTAAACACCTTTTTATGTTCTGGGGCTGTTTGGATTTCCTTTTTTAAATAGGGTCCTTCATTTGTCATTTTTAAAGACTGAGTAGTCTTGGGCTGGGGATTTAGCTCAGTGGCGCCACGCCTGCCTGGTAAACACAAGGACCTGAGTTCAATCCCTGGCACCGAAACAAAACAAAACTGAGTAGTCTTATTAATTTGCAAGAGTTTCTAAAATATATATTTTAAATACAAGTTTTTGTCATATATATATTTAAACACATATACTGTACCTCAAAATCAAATAATCAAGTAACACTGCTTGGTGTGCTGCTGCTGACTTGCATTTTATTTTCTTAAAAGATGTTCTTGGATAAGCAAAAGTTCATCTACTTAAATTCAAGTTTCAATCTTTTCTTTATAGAAGCACTTTTAATACTGGGAAGCTGAGGCAAGAGGATCAAGAGTTCAAGCCCAGGGCTGGGGATTTAGCTCAGTGGTTCTGGTGCCTGCTTTGCAAGCGCAGGGACCCAAGTTCGATCGCCAGCCAAAAAAAAAAAAAAAAAAAAAAAAAAAAAAGTTCAAGTCCAGCCTGAGCAACTTAACAACTTAAGTGAAAACTTTTCTCAAAATAAAAAATAAAAAGATTAGGGGTGTAGCTAGGTGCAAAGGCACTGGATTTAATACTCAGTACTGTCAAAAAAGAAAGAAGGAAAGCAAGCAAGCATGCATGCATACAAGTAAGCACTTAACAAAAATTTTTGTTTTGTGTTTATTGATATACTAAATCATCAAAGACTTAATCTGGATCTTACTATGTGCAGTTTTAATAGGCTTTATATACTATGTAATACTTAATGTTTAATACTTTAAGCTATAAAAACAAAAAACATTCTAATGTTTCATTAAACTCGAGATTTTTAATTTCCATTAAAAATAATACAACTGTAAACTCTTTTAAATACTGTATATTAAAAGTGCTGGAATTATTAATACTAAAAAGCAAAACTGCCACATAAGCAACCTAGTTAATCTTATGCCAGTCACAAAATGTCACTAGGCTTTAATTTTCAGAAATATAAAACAGGGGAATTGAATTAGGTGATTACTAAGATTTTTTTCCAGTAAAATAAAGCAACAAGTCCACTGAAACTTTAGAACTTTATTATCGGATTTAATACTTTTTTGGGAGGTACTGGGAATCAAACTCTGGACCTTGCACCTGTGAAGCAGGTGGAGGCACCTCTGAGTTAAACCCCGGAACCCTTAATACTCCTATCTGATGAGCTCCACGTGTGCTTTTCTCACAAGTGTAATGTACTGAAAGGCAGGGCTACTTCACAATCCTGGCCTACACTGCTCCAGGGAAACGATTCACATGGTCACACGTCACAGCCCTGACTGGTACTCATTTTAAGACCAGTCTCAGCTCAAAGTCACTAGCAGCCCACACACCACCAGCATCGCCAAAACAAGCTTTTCGCACTTGGAGCAATCATGAACACTTGCTTTTCTCACTGTCTCCTCCACCTATTCTATTCAGCAAAACAAAGGCCCAGCAGTGAGCTAGAGAGAGACATCTTCCTTCAGCTAGCTAACCAAGGAATGATCACAATGATTTATTTGGTATTCCTTCCAACTCTTCACAATAAAAATTACACTATACTTAAACATAATATGAGCAAAGTAATGTTGATCTGTAAAATATCGGTTAAAAAAATAACTTACAGAAAAACCATTTATACTATGAGCTAATATTTTTAAATAAAAAGGTATTGCATATAAATGATAATTTTTAAATAAAAATACTACAGTGATAATTCTTTTTTTGCAGCACTACAGATGGAACCCAGGATAAGCATTATACCACTGAGCTACACCTTCAGTCTGATAACTCTTTTAATAAAAGATTATATAGTTCATTTCAATAATAAAAGATGATCTTAAGAACAGGTTTCAATCAGCTCTTTTTAAAGTCTGGTGGATGGAAAATTTCCAAGTTTCCCCTCTAGGAATAGGTCCTTAGGTTGCTCTCTTTTGGGACCCAGGCAACATTAGATTTCTCTCTTACTACTCTTGCATGTAGGCTGTTTGCCATCTTAACCACCTTAATAAGGAAAATCTCTCCCTTTGGGACCGCACTGCTATTCTGAAAAGTATATCTTAATCTAATTTATAGGTCTATAGCTATAAGCCTCATTTCCCTCTCATGTTTGGATTCAATGAAATACAAGATGTGATAAAATATGAATGTTTAAATTTTGAAAATAATTACAGTAAAAATAAAAATAAATTATTACAGTAAAAGATATGTTGCTATTAATTTCCTTCAAACTACTCCGCCTCCCAGCTGGCTGTGGTGGTACACATCTGTAATTCCAGAACTTTGGAGGGTGAGGCAGGAGGATCCCTGCACAGTCAAGCCCAGCCTGAACTATATACAATGAGACTTTGTCTCAAAAAGCAAATAACAGGGGCTGAGAATGTAGCTCAGTGGTGCCACACCTGCCAGGCAATCTCAAGGTCCTGAGTCCCCTGAGTTTGATTCTCCAGTATGAGAGTGGGGTGGAGCACATAAGAAAAACAAACAAAAATATTCCCCCTCCCTTCAAACACATTTATTCAATCATTCTTGCCACTTTCTGAAGCAGTTGTGAAAGTCTTCATTTCTTCATACCTGTCTTTAGTTGTAGTGCTGCAGCTACCTCAATGTTTTGAATTGATGCAAAATGTTTACTTTTCACAATCATTTTGGCTTTGGGGAAGAGATAGAAGTTGCACTGTGCCATATCCAGTGAATAAGGACACACTGTAATGTTTTTGTAAGTGTGCTTTTCCATTAGGTACCACTTGGAAAGCAGTATCAGTATAATTTAATTGCACCTTGCAAAGACACAAATGAGAACTTCCAGAACTACTTCAGAAAGTAGCAAGAAAAATGGGGTAAGAGTGAAGAGATGAGTATTTTAAGAGGGATTAATGGCTTTTACTGTAATAACTTTTTAAACATTCACCACATATTCTGATTACATCTCATACATTTACATGGTAGGCTTCTCAAACTACTACTTTTTTGGGGGGGTATAGAGATTGAACTCTAGACCTTGCGCTTGTGAGGCAGGCAGTGGAACCAATGAGCTAAATCCCCAGCCCTCAAACTACTTCTTTTTATATCAACATAACTTTAAATTTTATAGTGACAGACTCTCCATGCCCCAAAACAAGAGACGGTTTATTTACATGTTTTTGAAATCTTCAATTTAAACACATTCAATGCAAACACATTAAAACAACATGTTAAAAGAAACTCTCAATGTATATTAAAATTAAATAATTTGTAAATTCAGTTTTTATAAGAGGCTACTTTAAAATACCCACAAGTAAAAAATTTTAGGAGGTATAATATATAATCCCCAATTATCAGTTCTAATTTTAGCCAACCAGCTACAATATTATCAGTTATAATTATTTTCCCATATCACAAGTCTTTTTAAAACTTACAAGGGGCTGGGGATTTAACCCAGTGGTTCCGCTGCCTGCTTCACAAGCTCAAGTTTCTGAGTTCAATCCCCAGTAACAAAAAAAAAACAAAGCTTACACATAATGCCTCTATGACACTTTACATGACTAAACCATAAATTACAATAACCATTACACAAAGTTCAACAATGAAATTGTTATTTTTGCTACTGTATTCATTTCTCAGTTATGATGTAGAATGCTTAAAGAGTAAAACCATATCAAAAGCATTTAAAAACTTTGCCCTCCAATTACTGAAATCTGCTTGTTACTATCCAAACTTATACTCCTATATACAAAATAACTCTCTCCATGAAACAGAACTCTTGAAGTCTAAGCATTAAATTTTTCAGGATATAATGCATGTAGCAAAAATTTCCTATTACAATAAATTATTAATGTGATCGGTAGTAATTAAACAAGGCTTATAGTCACATCATTATTTCCCAATCATACTGCCTTACTATCACTAATAATTACTGTCGATGTTATCGAGACATTCACAATACATACCTCTTGTGCAAGATCTTGGGCGTTGGAGATAAGAGGAAAAGGAGGACTGGCCTTGTTCATGTGTACTGTGACAGCATTGTGTATCTTAAACGCATTCTGGAAATCTTTATTTTGTACAAGTTGTAAAAGCAGTGAAATATCCTCCTGGCTCTGAGAATCTACCAAAGTATGTTGGATATGTTTAAGTGAAGAAAACAAGTCTTCCACTTCTGGTAGGAGAAAGAAAAGGAATCCTTAAAATTTATTGTTTTCAACATGTGCTTTAAGATAAAATTTCTTGAACCAGTAACAATTTGGAAAAAAAAACTACTATGTTTTGGACCATTAATCAATGTTATTTTGCTATTTTTAAGTAAAACCCTGAAAACTATAAAACAGAATAAACATTTTTTAAAAAAATGGTGTCAATTATACACTTGATCTTAGCCAAAAGGCCGAAAAATGATTAAAAAATGTTAATTATAAAAGTTATACATACTATAAAAATGATGGGAAGAATACAAAAATTAATGAAGTTAAAACCACCAATAATCCCATCACCCAGAAACAATTATTTTTCCTGAACATCTTGATGTATTTTCTTTTTGCACAGAATAGTACATTATAATTGTTTTCCCACACCACTAGTCTTTTAAAACATACATAATGCCTCTCTGACTTTACATGGCTAAACCATACAATAATCATTATACAAAGTTCAACATTTAAATTGCTTCTATTTTTGCTACTTTAAATTAATAATATTTTAGCACATAGTAATCACTGCTGTATGTATATCTGTTTACAATTCTGATGTTTTCTTAATTTCTAGAAACAGAACTTTTACGTAAGATTCTGACATATTTAAAAGCTAAACAGATTTCTAGGGAGTTTTCACTAATTTATATCCCACTAGCAATATTTGCACCAACACTCATCATTTTCAAAAACTTTAATTTCTTTGATGGGGAGGTTGAAGTTTATATTTAAAGGGCACTTTTAAAATTGTCCATAAAACTAATGAATACATGCATCTCCTAAAATTGCAGTGAAAGTTCTGGGCAAGTGTATATGTATTGTGTTTATTAGTATGCATACACAGTACATGCATTTTTGGGGGAAGTTATTAAAAATGGTTCAGAACCACTAGTAGTCTCTTTCCTGCTTCCTAGGAACCACTAGTAATCTCTTTTGTGTTCCCCAGCAAGGTTGTGGGTGTATGAGTGTTAAAATTAAAAGTCATCACTTTTTCTTGACTTTTAAAATTAATTATGAATCATTTTCTTCCCAGTGTATCTCCCTCCCATTCCCTTCTCTCATTCTTTTTCTTTGTTTTTTGACAGGGTCTATGTAGTTTAGGCTGCCCTTGAACTTAAATAAGGGAATCCTCCTGCCTCTGCCTCCTGACTGCTGGGATTACAGGCATATGTCAACACACCTGACTCTCCTTTCTTCTTCTTCTTCTTCTTTTTTTTTTTTTTTTTTTTTTTGTACTGGGGATCAAACTCAGGACCTTGCACTTGTGAGGTAGGCGGCAGAACCACTGAGCTAAAACCCTTCTTCTTAAAAAACAAACAAACAAAAAGTCCTATTGAGGTACTGACTGAAATTAAACTTTAAATGAGTCTGGGAAAAACATAGTGGATATAAAAAGACTAATAATAGTGTGTTATGCATCGATAGCAGCAACAGCTTTTCCAGGTTCTGCAGTCTGCTGAACAAAATTATAGACATTCAGCACATTCCATTAAAAAAAAAAAAAGAAAATAATATCCAGAAAATAGCAAAGTTCTGTTGCTGTTGTGGTACCTGGCACCATTTTTTCTATTAGCCTCTTAATCATCATCTGGAAAGAGAACATTCTAGAGTAATATCATTAAATGTAATACATATATATATAAATTGAATTTTGGGAAACTTTAATGGTGCTGCCAACTTTGGAAAAAGTCATCACAATTTACTGTGTTGAATTGGCATTGTACAGAAACGGACAACCATATTGGTCTAGAAATGTTAATTTATTTTTATTTTTATTTTTTATTTTGTTTTCATGTGTACAGGGGTAACACATCATACTAAATATGTAAGGTCATATCTGCATGGGTTTGATTACAGAAACTAATAAAGTATTCTCTAAATAATAAAAAAAGAATAAGATAAGCCTACAAGATCAAGAAGCAATTTAAATATGTTAAGGGACCATTTTCATCTCCAGAATTAAGGATTATTTTAATGTTGCATCATTGCCTTTTCTCTTTTACTTTCCTTTTTAGTTTTATTTTAGGATTCCCTATTTTTAATGTTCATACAGAGATTTCTTTAACTGAAATACTGAATAGTTTCTCTGGTGTG